TGAGCAGGCTGTTACCTTTAGTGTTTCTTGCTCAAAAGAAAATCTTTATGCATGTAGAATATCTCGACCTTTATATGTTCATTTTTTTCTTCCAAAACAGACCAGTATTAGACTATTTTTCCATAGGTATCCAGGAGTATAGTCCTTGAATTCAAGTTGGCATTAAAACTGTTTTCCAGTCATTCATCACAGCATATTCTCCAAATTGTTGTATTTTTACACAGCTGGGTGAAGTTCAGAGGGTCTTGTTAAAGGACTTCATGTTGTCTTGGTGATCCTGCCTGACATTTGCCTCACCTCCTGTAAATATTGTAGATTCCAGCATTGGGTGAAAGGAAATAGCTTTTCCAGTATTTCAGACTGCCAAGCGTACCCGCCTGTTACTCTTATTTCATGGTTTGTTAGTGACTTGAGATTAAACCCATTTTTTTTAAAAAAAGGGATTTGAGGTTTTTCTTCCATGTACTTCACAGAATTACAGATTTGCCCTGGATATTTTGTAGGAAAAAAAAAAGAAGAAAAGGGGTTTTTTCCTTTCTTTTGTAACTAGATCGAAGAGCTCCGTGTTACGGCGCAGCTGGAGCAGCAGCACCACAGCTCACTCCGAGGGGCCCGTGAAGCTGCACGAGGGCTCTCAGGTTCTCCTGACCAGCTCCAATGAAATGGGGACCATCAGGTACATTGGTCCAACAGACTTTGCACCAGGGATATGGATCGGGCTGGAACTCCGAAGTGCCAAGGGAAAGAACGACGGCTCCGTGGGGGAGAAGCGCTACTTCACCTGTAAGCTGAACCACGGGGTCTTAGTTCGACCCAGCAGAGTAACCTACCGTGGGATTAATGGGGCAAAGCTTGTGGATGATATTTGCTGAGCTGAAATGGGTTCAGAGGGTAGGAAATCAGTATTTTAAAGCACAAACCAACCCCATCTAGAATGCGAACTTATTTTGAAATTATTAAATCTGCGTTTGCATTTTACATATATGAGTATATATATGTATGTGTGTGTATATAATATATATGATATATATATTTTATATAAATATATATATAAAATAGATAAAAAAAGAGTTCAGTCGTGTTAGGAAGTAAAACCCCTCTTCTGTTTTAGTTAAACGGCCCTTGCCTGGAAGGTTTTTTACAGAAGCATCTTGTGTTTAAGGTGCTGCATCATTTGACTAATGTTCCAGTTAGAGAACACGAGGATCTCCAGCGTTCTCTAAAGTTCCTGTGTGATTCATGCAGTATTTAAACAGTTTTCCTCCATGTAGTAATGAACTGGTAATGCTTTGTGCATTGCCCGCTTTTGACAGCGGAGGTGGTTGATGAGTGACATTAGCCTGGTTCCCGGGCACTTTGTCAATTCCAATACCAGCTGCTAGCAATAAGGAAGCAAAAAAAAAGGAAAAAAAGACCTCTTTTTCAAGCAGTTGTGGAGTATTTTTGCATTTTATCATTTGGATCCCTCCTCTTACCCCCTCCTCTTCTCCAGAATGCAAAAGGGCTGATAAATACAAGGATTTGCTGCTATCCTAGTGAACAGCAGCAATTAAATAAAAAGCCTTTAAAAACCACAAATATGCTGCATGTCAATCTGTATACTAAAGAGCACTTTTTGTTGTGCATTTGTAGAAGGAGTTACGTATAAGAAGCACTCTTTAAAATAATGCACTTTGCACTGTCCTGGAGAGCTTTCTCTCATTTTTAGAGACTTTCTTTTTGTTTGGGGTGCTGCAGGCAATGAGTATCACAGTTTTGAAATGCAAATAAACCTAGAGTGGAATTACATGTAATAGCCTCTTCATAAATATTAAGTCTGTATAAATACAGCACAGTAATTCCTGCCAGTGGTATGGAACATATACAGGGTTTTCAAGCAAGCTGTTGCCATTACTTGATTGTTTGTGATACATGTTTCTTCTTGTTTCCTTTAGAACAGTTTTCAGTATAAATTTCTTATAAGTCTTATGATAAATTAAGCATAGTTTTAGGTACAGCACTGTAATGCGCCTTGATGTGACATTATTTGCATATCAGCCTTTTAAAACAGCTAATATTTTGTCCATATTTTAAACATATAACGTATTTTAATTGCTCAGCATATGTAAACATTATCTGATTAGGATGGTTTTGTGTTCCAGAACAGTCATTTTACTCTTAAATGATTTGCTTGCTCTTGCCTACTTGAAGAAGTGACACTTTATTAAATCATAATAGCCTATTTTTAGACAGAATCCTGCTGCTGTAACCTTCTTTTAAATATTGCTGTAGCTATTTTTTCTGAACCGTATTTAAAATAATGCACATTGTATTCTAACTTATGGAAATTTTTAATTGAATATAAAAGCTGTAAATTTTGAACGTAAAAAAAAAAAAGCAATGCTTTATATTTGCAGATGCAGACATTCAGTGATGTACTGAACTTTACTTTGTCTGATATCTGTTTCTTGCCGGTGTTAATAAAATGAAACGCTGTTGATTGGTGTACAGCAAAAAGAATTTTCATTGGGTCATTACAGAATGTGCATCTCTCACGTCTGTTCTTATGTACAAATTAAGCACACGAGGTTCATGTGGAACAGGAACTGTCACATGTAAACCAGAAGCTTTTGTGTCTTCTGGCTGTTCGGCACAGAACTGCCAGTTTCAAGCAAAGCCTTTGCACAGCACGTTTTGTCACAGCCTGGTGCTCCTGGGTGAGCAGTTGAGTTCCTGTGATGAGACACTCATTATCAGGAATGCTGTTTTTCCTGCCTGAGCAGATGGAATGGGTGTAACTGCTTTATCTGAGGGGTAGCTGGAGTTCTTCAGGAGGGAGGTATGGGAACGAGTGTGTGGGTGAACAGCAAGCTCAGGCAGTTTGTTATAGTCCCACCATTTCTGTGTGGTCTGTCTTGCACAGATGAAGTAATGTATAAGAACAACATCTTTACAATAGTTTTCTGATTCATTGGTAGCTTTTTATTTTTTTCTTCAAGGGTGTCAGGCTGCCCCTTCCACAGCTCTGTAGCTACACCCAGTTTGGCTGGAAGCGGGGTCTCAGTGGCCTGGGCTAGTGAGTGCTGCAGGACTTCAGTGGACCTGTCTGATGGGTACAGAAGAGGGCACAGATACTGAGTGTTGGTGTGGTGCACTTTCCCTTCCATTCCAGCTTCAGCCAGCTCCACATTTCTCCTGAAAGCTCTGGCCGTAATCAGCTTGAGCACTGTGGGTTAGAGGAGCAGGACTGTTATCAGGGCGGAGATGTTTTGGTAGCACTGAGAATCTTCTGCAAGGAAGCAAGAAGCGCTGTAAATTTGTGCATCCTGCAACAAAAATAAATCAGTCCATTCCAGAAAGGATTACTCTCCTCAAGGTGGTGAGGTGAAGGGATTTGTGCTTCCCTAAATCCAAGGTAAGTTGCCATAATCCTTTCCTCCAATTCTTGTAGGACGACACTGTGTCATTAAAAAAATTCTGAAAATAACTGGCAGTAAAGTTTGGAATTTGGTGCTGTGCAGAGGACTGACTATCACAGCCCCAGACTGGTAGAAAAAGAGCCAAATGATCCCCTAAGTTCCTATAAACTACATAAATATTATCTATTATTTATAAATAAATGAACAGATGGTCTCCAGCAATTCTGTGCTGCCTGTGTGGACTTCGAGGCTAGTCCTTGTCCCACAGCATGTCCCTGGGGTCTAGTTAGAGAAAATGTCCTTCAGTGCTCTTATCCATGAAATTGTTCAAGTTTTTTTGGACACTGGAAAGGCCACAGGTGTGTGTGACAGGAGGAAGAGAACTTTTTTGAGGTATCCCAGGATGGGGGATTCATTTCTAGTGCGTTCAGCTCAATTAGATTCAGTGATTGCTTTGCAGATGCTGACAGTAATGGCTTTCTGGGCAGGGAGCCTGTGCTTTCAGAGGGCTGCTAGCCAGCAAGGTCTGAGGCACAAGGATCCAAGACTGGCACTGCAGATTTGCAAGACATAACCTGGTTCTGCTGACAAGTTAGCTCTGTTACCTGCAAGGGTTTTCCTTAGGTGGCAAGTCCTGCATTTATGTAAGTGCTTTTACAGAGTTCAGTTTTCTGCAGAAGCCTTGTCACACACCAGGTGGAAACTTAAACTGTGTCCGTGAAAGCTACACAGTGGAGCACCCACCTGCATCCTTTTCACTGCCTCGTCACAGATGGACAACTCTGGAAGAAATGGGAATCAGAGCAAAGATTGCCAACCAATGCCAGATCCAAAACAGTCTGTGTGGCTGACTGGACCAGGTCTATTCCTAGAAGAGCACAGGAGAGCTCCCTTTTCAGTTAAGATGGAGAGGAACCAAAGTGGCAGGGAAATGGAGAGGAGAAGTGCCTACAAGATACCTGCTCAGGAAAAGGGTCTTATTTACCAAACTACAGCACTATCCTGCAATAGAATGAGCCTGGGAAGGAGAAAGTTTGTAGATAAGTCAGTCCTAATTTCAAGGACCATTTCTTGAGAATGCAGCTATGTGGGGCATAGGAGTGATGGGGGAAGGGAAAAAAGTGTTTCAGGGAAGGAACTACCTCTTCCTAGAATTGTCACAGGATTCAATACTGGCACTCCACTGTATTAAAATACAGTTTATAGTTAGATCTACTCCCAGTCTGTGTCCAGACTCAAGGAAAAAGGCTGTCTTATTAGGATATACACATTTAGGAATGAAAACACCCCAATGCTCTCTTCAACCCTTCCTGTTGTTCTCCTTTTATACAGGCCAGTTTTCTGTTGGTAGTAGCCAGCCTTGGTGCTTTGTGACAGAAGGAACGGCACCTTTGTAAGACACTTGGCATATGATGTTTGCAATGCAGAGAAGTCTGAAACAGCTGCTGCTCTCCCAAAAGGTGGTTGGGTCAGTGTAGCACAACACCAACTCCTTTGGGTGTCTGTCACCTTAATACTTCTGCAACTTTACCAAGAAAAAGGGATGTCCAGACACCTCCCTCTGACCTCGATGCAATCATTGCACAGCCCAACACAGAGAAAGCCAGCTACTGTCATTTTATTTGTCTTCATGCCTTGTGGTTCACTACACTTGTTTACAATACAAATACACTATTCAATACAAAATACTCAATGACCATATATTAGTATTCTTCTTCATAGTATCCCTGAAGTGCACAGGCCCTTCCTTTATAAACAATGTTGCATAAACGGCTGTACATGAGACAGACACTCCTATAATGAAGCTTGTTACTAAAAAAGCCAGATGCAGACAATTCGGACATTTTCCTGTGGTGGGTTTAACTGGGACAGACAAATGGCCATGTCTTTGCTGCTGTGGAAGGCTGTTTTATGCTATTCCTATGTCAAGGTTCTCGTCACCCAGAAGACAGGTGCAGTAACAGGAGCAGACATGCAAAGTTACACCCATCACACCCTATTTCGGACCCTTTGTGTCGTGCAGCAACTGCGCCCGGAGGTGCTGTGGCTGCTCTTGGAGCCTTTGCAGGGGGAAGCCAAAGCAGTTTGACAACGCTGTGCAAGGCTGACTTGGCCAAATTAACGCAGCCCTTGTGCTTCCAACCTGTGGTACCTGCACCTCCCCTTGCTACAGCAAAGCCCCTCTCCCACCACCACTCCTTTGCTGTGCCTCGAGGAAGCAGAACCAACCAAACTTCTTCCCTTGCTTCATTTCCAGGCACATGATGGAGAAAAAAGGTTCAGTAGCAAAAAGGGAGGATGATGGGACAACTGGATGGAAACAGGCATCCCAACCTAGTTTACCTCCAGCAGCTTACAGAATCAGAAACCTATAGGAAACAGACAATATCCTGAAATAAGCCATTTTCCAAGTACAAGAGTGGTAGTACAGGGTTTTTCCCAGTCATGCTTTACATCTTGTAGGTCGTCCTGCTTCCCACTTTTCCACTGTAAAATGAGGAAGATATATATCAGAACATCAGTATTACCAATGAAAAAGATTAACAGTCCTAAAAACAAGTTCCTTAAAAAATATACAGTGTGTCAATAAACTGTAATTTAAAAAATAAGTTACAGACAAAAATGAGTAAGAAGGTTAAAATAACTTGAATTTGTTTTTCTGCAGCACTATAAGCCTAGCATGGAGGAGTTTGATAAAGGAATTTGGGATTTACTTATCCAGAGTGCTTTGGTCTGGTGAGCCCATGGTGACTTAAGCCCCTTTGTTCCCTGCAGCACTGAGTACTGAACAGGTGGATATTCCTAGACACAGAAATTAAAAGTTTCTGGTTCACGACTGGACAAAATGCTCAGGGCAAACTGGCACTGCAGCTGCAGCTCTCACATGGCTAAATGTTACATGTTTGTTAAATGTCCTGTCAGCCCTTCAGCTAATTGGAGATCATACAGTAACTGATAGTGCCTGAGTGTGCACAGAGGGACAGAGGAAAGGGGGATCATTAAGGAAAGTGTTCTTCAGATCATCCCAGTGATGCAAATAAGATCTTGCACTGTCACTGAAATCCTGGCAATGCTTTTAGCAACAGGACAGATGCTTAAATTTAAGCATTGGAATTGCAGAATGACTAGGAAACTCTTGGATGCAGCCTGCACACAAGCAGCAGTGCACCCTTTGGTCCAGGCAATTAATTTGTTTTCTAAGAAGGAGGGCAGGCAAATGCTACAGCCCTTGTTTCTAAGTGACAAGATTTGATTAGCATCAATAGTTAAAAAAAAATTTTTGCAACCTGGGGTACTATGCTTGGACAGCAAAGAGAGGTAACAAACTAAATGCCTGGTGTGGAGTAGCTCTGATATGTTGTGTCTTTAATATTAAAAATAAGCCCAAACTGAATTTCTGAATTCCTCTGAGTTAAGAAAAGGGGATTTAAAAAAAAAAAACAAAACACCACAAACAAAAGCTGACACCAAAAAAAATCCCCAAAACAAACAAAAAAACCCCAAGGAAAGAAAAAACAAAACCCAACAAACCCTAAGAAAACCCCACAACAAAGCATTTTACACAGGAGACACTGGAAGGAAGCTCACTAAAAACTAACTGCCAGTGCTGAACAGTATTTATCTCAATGCACTGTACTCAGCAGAGTGGAGAATTTCAGTAGTAATTCACCATTCCCCCAAACAGAATTATCTCCTGACATATTCCATAGGTAAGAAGCAGGAAGGTGTTTAGCTCCTTCATTTTGTTTTACAACTCCCATTCTGTAAGAGTATTTCAGTTGAAATTCTATTATAAAATAACTGCACAGTACAAGCTCAGAGAGCAGTAACCACACTCTCACCATGCTGGGAAAGCTTCCCTTTCACCCCTACAAACTTATAATCATCTCTTGCTGCTTGTGCTTTTAAAGCTTCTTTAGAAATGCCACCTTTTTAACATTGTAACCTGGCAGCTTATCTGTATTTGTGCAGCATCAAAGCTGCTGCCTCAGACCCAACAATTAATACTTTTAGTTAGTCAAAGATCATTAACTTAGCAACTTTATGTTCCTGTGTATTCTTTAAAAACACTCATGAGTATACAGGTCAGCTTCTGCCCTCAGTAACATGGTAAGGCAGCAAAAACTCAGTGTGCTCCTAGGCAAAGAAACATTAAAGAAAACAATGAGGAGCTTCAGCTCTTCTGAAAATGAAAAAGCTGGAATATTTAAATGAAAATTGCTATTATATGTGAATAATATACTAGTGTAAGAAATTTTTCTGGCAGTGCTTGCCTCCTGAATTAATCAGCTTTTCTGACATGCTAAAAACTACCCCCTTTTGTTTACTGAGCTAGAGAGAGACGCTGGTGTGACACTAACACAGTCCTAAGCTAGACAGAATCCCTCCCCAGCGGCTATTTCATGGCAAGAGCTGTGAGCCTAATAACCTTGGAGATGACAAATACTCTCTGAGTTCAACCTAAAGAAGCCTGTAAGAGCAACCCTCCTTATTCCCACCAGACCCACACAGCACATGAACAGCAGCCCCTGACTCAAGCACAGCCTGTTAACCCACCACCACCCATGCTTACAGCATTTGGTATTTGTCTTAGAAAAGGATTTAGTTTCGTGTATCAGAGATGTCAGAAGGACAGATTAGGAGACCACAGCATCTCTTTCCCTCCCCTCAATGTGTTTTTTCACAAAGGGGGTGGCCCAAACCAAGCCCTCCGATTTGATTCTGCGCATCTCAAAGTTTAGGAGTATGTATATGTGGATTCTGGTTTGTTCCCTTATGAAGACAGGAAGCTTACCTCAGCATTTGGATCCAGGGTCAGATTCAGATTCACCTCACTGAAACGAAGAGTCTTGGACTGAAGAACACCTTCACGCTCCTTTGCTGATGCTCCAGTACATCCATTTCTATGGAAATAAGCACCCCTTTTTTGGATAGCGTTCATGCTAAAACAGCTCCTTGCAACCCTAAGCTGAAGTTACTAATGCACATCTTTACACATGAATTATTTCCTACATCTATGTTTTGACAATACACTTAACTGGAATATTTTTCATGCACAAGGTGTACAAAGTGAGTCAATGGAGTGTTTGTCCTTAAACCACTATCATACATGTATTTTGTTAAAGGGACGAGGGCTCTAAACCCTTCAAATACAGACAGTATCTGGCAACTGGACTGTGGCACGATGTAGTCTTCTGCCTTTCTGGTGTTATTTGTACAGGGTATGTCAAAGGCTATAGTAAACCTCTGAGGTATGCAGGTGGCTGTCCATTTCCAGGGCATGGTGAAAGTCTCTGTCATGACCATGGTCCTTTAAAGCTTCACCTTGGTTCCACTTGACACGCACAAGTTCCTGATAAGGGCATTCCTACTTTTGTAGGACAGAAGGAATTTTAAAGGGCTTTACTTAGTTTTAGTGCTTAAGCATAGGAAAACAAAAACAAAACAAAAATCCCCAGGCAAACAATGCCTCTCCCAACCCCCAAATGCCTCATAGCATCTGCACCCATGCTCTGCTTCCTCTCCTCTCTCTTTCAAGGGATGCAGTGTGACCAGTGTCTTTCTATTGCCCTGTCAGCACCCCCATAACCGCTGTGCATTCAAGGACTTTCGAAGACTGGACTGTAGCTGGAACACAACTTGAGAATGTGCCATCGTGTCACCATTCAGAGCATGTTGTATCCTTTTTCGGTTTGGATAGAGGATGCTCTTCCCAAACCCACTACAACATCTGCCAGCTGCAGGAGATCTCTAGGTCTTCCACAGCAACGACAGGTTTGGCATGGAAAACCTTGGACATGGAACACTCATGGCAGTGAGCCGCAGCTTTGACACGCAAGCAGAGAACGCACAACTGAGAAAAGCTCACGGGAAGGGCATGACGACAACCATGCGAATGAGTTGATGCAACAGCAGCTGGGCCTTGCAGATAACATCTGCATCCTCCCTCCCCCTTGGTTCTTTCACTCTACTGGGGCTCCGGTGGATTGAAGCCTCTCGGGTTGGTTGAAATTACAATGGCAAGGGTGGCACTTTCGGAGCAAGTTTGCACAAAATAGAAGGTGATGCTGTCAGATCCCTTGCTCGTGGTGTGTTGGGTAACAGGACATCTTTTCAAGGCTCAGGGGCCACAGGGGGAAAAGTCAAGAGGGTCGAGGGCTCTCAGGGCCCCTGCTGGGTTATGTGGCTCTTGTTTCTAAGGACGGGGTCCTCATAAGTGCTAGCGCAAGGTGGCGTGGAGGCTTCCAAGGGTAAGCCCTGCTGTTGGTATCCATAGTTGACATTCCCACAGGGGAAGTGGCGAAGCCTAAAGAGAGGCACTTCTTTAACACTTGCAGTTAGGGAAGATGGCTCTAATAGCAAGGAGGAGCCTGGCAGCCTGCCAGTCATAATGTTGGGCCCCACAGTACAGTTTCCTTCCTGTCCCAAATTCTCCCTCTCGTGCCTCTCCTTCTCCAGCACAGAACTGTTTTTGCTGGCCTGCTTCTCCGCAAACCAGGAACCATAGGTTGGATTCCAGAGGTTGGTGGGCTTGTTTCTGGAGCCCCGGCTTTTGTGCAGCTCAGAAGGGGGATTGGACTGGGCATAGGCCATGTTGATATGTCCTCCCGCTGAGGCTGATGGCACCTTCCCTGGCACTGGTTGTTCCAAGGCTCGCGCTTTCCCTAGAGATTTTCCAGCAGTGATGGCTGATGGCAGGGGTGGTGGAGATGGCAGGGTTTGCTTATCATCCTTTCTGTCTTGGTGTGTGGAGACCAATAGAGGAGAAATTCCTTCTGGATCGTCAGGGCGCACCTTCTCCTCCTCCTCAGCTGATGGGCCATATTCTACTGGCAAGGCGGTGTTGATGACATCTGGATCCTGTCGGAGAGAACAGTGAGATTTCCTCAAAGTCTGTAGCCATCGTGCATTGAATAAAAACCTGACACGTTTGACAGCTGTCATGCTATGACCACAGTGCATCATTCCCACTACCTAGTGCCCATATTCCACATGTAGGGGATGCAGACAAAATGCAGTTAACTGTGAGATATAACGGGATATCCTTAAAAATCCAACTCTTAAAAAAAACCCCAACCCTAAAACTCACCACAGAATAGTAGAGGCACAAAACCAATGAAAAATATTTTTTATGTCCAGACAAATTTCCTGTGGGAATGTTGTTTTGGAATCTATCATCTCAGAGTTCATAACATTCTCAGATAATATTGAGAAAGTTTCAGCCATGTAAGTATTGCCTCCATATAACGAGGGAGGAATGGAAATGCAGAGAGAAGGCAATACTGGCAGACCCCTTGAAGCCCAAATCCATAGAGATTGTGGTTATGAGCCATTTATGCAGTTTTGAGAATTAAACTGAGAGAAAATGTGGTGATCTGGGCAGCCTTTAATTATTGCTAGATGCCGTGGCAAGCTACAGAGAGCAGAAAAAAAATGCCTCCCAATCAAAGGATCCAAACACACATGAAAAACAGATCAACCTTCCCAAGTAGCGAGGGAAAGCAAACTGACTGAGGCAAATAACAGTGAGGCCATACAAGGAGCCTGTGCTGATAAGGCAGCAAAACATTTTCTAAACTACTCTACTTCTTGTAAGCTAAACTGGTGGTAAAAACTAAGTAAATCCGATTTCGGCCTGGAAATCCAGCCGCATCCTTCCCCCTCCTTGCCTAGCCTTAGAATCCCCACTCCTCGAGCCTGGCTGTTTCCACCTGCCTTCTCCAGCACTGTCAGATTCAGAAAATTGCTAACAGCTGCTGAAACCACCTGCAAAGGGTGTCTGAGCTGGGACCATTCCTGTTCAGTGCTGACTATGTCTTAAGGGTAAACACTGGGATGGAGTGGCTGGGACGAGGCATGTGGAACTCATGCAGGTGCTGGCCTGTCTTAGCTCTTTTGCTCATTGGAATCTATGCCTTTACAAGCAGAAGAAGAGCTACTGGTGTGCTATTTCTATAGCTGTGTAAGCTTGTTTAAGCCCATGCCTTTCAGCAGTGAAAGATAAGATGGATCCAGCATCCAATGAGGTGAATATCCCAGCCACTGTTCCCAGAGTGGCATCACTCCCTGGACTGCTGACTGCATTACTGCAGTGCTGCCTTCTTGTCTCGTATTCTGGCTTGTCTAGACCTCTCCTCAAGAAGAACCCTCTCCACCCACCTCCTCTGAGATGAATGAACACCCATACCTGAGTGCAGTACTCAATCCTCTCCAGGATTATGGCAAAATTTGGTCGGTCTTCAGGTTGGTGCTGCCAACACTGGGTCATAATGCGGTAACTGAAAGGGCAGAACAGGAGATGTTTATGAACAGCAGATCCTGTGGTACATAACAGCTTAGAAATCATAAGCATGCATCACCACTCTGACTTCCAACAAATAAGAGTTCTCTGCCTTCCCCAGAGTCAGACAACTGTACCAGCCACTTAAATGTGACCACCACTGGGGTAAAATTCACAGCCCATCAGAGAAATAACTCAGCCACCCAAAATCCCTTGGACAATTCACTAAAGGTAGGCAGGGCTACAGGTAAAGGAGCCCAGTTTTCCCTATCTGTGAACAGTCTTATGCATTGAAGTTTCACAGCTAACCTAAGACACAGAAATACTGCACCATCTTTGACCAAACAAGCAGTGGCCAGTAATTCTCAAAAGGGCCCTCAATTATTCTCCAAAACAGAAAAATTAAATATTAGAGAAATCACTGGCACTCAAGTTCAATAAAACAGATCAGCCACAATAAGGTCAGTCTTACAAACAATTAACTTTTGACTAGAGAAGAGCATCTGAAGCAGAAACTTATTTGCATGAATATAATTAAGTTAACATCTCATACACAGGGCCAGGGCAGTTTTTAGGTGGATCCATCCTTCCTCCATTGGTGACAAACTCCAGAACCTCCTGGTTACTTTTGCTAGGGTAGGGCATGTATCCCAAAGAGAATATCTCCCACAGCAATACACCAAAAGACCTGAATACAGAAGCAAAGGAAAATAAAGTGAAGGATACAGGAATGACCATCACCAGTGGGCAATGCCCTTAGGTTCAGTACAAACAGCATTGCTCTTTGCAGCCTTTGGTCAGGCAGCTGGTGCAAATCCCTGCTGCAGGATTCAGACACAAATAAGCAGTACAGTTGTGACAGTGAATTTTGAAACATTTAATAAATACTAGTAGTTGACTGTTAAGTAAGTAAAGTATAGGATATAGGTAGGTAAATATGGTTGCTTTACCCTCCAAGACTATTGATGCTGAAAACCTCAGCTTTTAGCACATGAGAAATGAACCTGAACATGTGTTTTTTACAAATATTCACTCTTTACAACACAGAGGGACCGGACAGAGAAGGAAAGGAAACACACCATGTATCTGTTTTTGATGTAAATATCCCTTCCATGAAAGCCTCAGGAGGCATCCATTTGACAGGCAACATTGCACACCCACCCTTCCGGTAGTAGCTGGCTCTGCAGAGAACAAACAGAACAAAAGAGTCAGCAAGAATTCAGAAAATGGCATCGATTTGGGATTTTTATGATTAAAAACATTAAAATTATGAGCCAGAGGACACACTAATTTAGGCAGAACAGTACGGCAGAGAAAATGCTGAAGAGACTTGCTCCTTCTCACAAAAGTAGTGGAAATGGGCAATCCATGGAAGGACTGTTTTATCTACCTCACTTCAGGCCTGATCTGGTGAATCAGTTATCCTCATCTGTGTCCATATTCCTAGTGAATTACTCAAACAGTAACTGCTGCTGGCAGAGCCATCCCCCTGCCCTTTTCAACCACAGCAAGATCTTGACCTCATTTCCCACATGGTCACCTTGAGCACCCCCACCAAAACCAAACAAAACCTATCCAATATGTACCCAGCCTAAAGCACTGCAAGTAAAATCCTAAAGCCTTTGTAAGAACAAGGAGCTTGATAAGAAGAATGGTTGGCCATTAGAGCTGGGGCACTAGTACAAAAACCACCTCCTGTGCTTCTGAGACGGTCCTTTATTGTCGCTGTCATTTTAAATAAAACCTACAAGCCCCAAATCCTGTGCTGGCAGCTGCGGAAGGATGCTCGTGCAAGCTGGTATCACTGATCATAACTACACAGCCTGAGCATCCAAAGGATATTCCTGGACAAAGAAACATGTGCAGACTTCAAAGGCACCTTTGAAAGCTCAGCACCAAAGTGTTCATCTTGGCAGTTGGTTCTACTGATTGTGTGAGAGAGACAGATGCTACTTTGTCCCAGCAGAGCCCCCATCTGACAGTGGGGCAGCGTGGGGGCTCTTTGCCAAGGGAGAGGAGGAAAAAACCCCAAGCTGATCAGAGCTGATACTCTTGCGTTTTTGAAAGTAGCACTCTGTTTGCATCACCTCAGGCTGTGATACTGTCAGATCTCAAGCTAAGCAGAGCCAGAAGAATCCCCAAGCAGGAAAAAAAGTAGGCAAGGCACTGGAATAAACAGTGCGGGTGACTGAGCACAAGGCATTCCTTCTTCCGAGTCAGGGGCAAATCAATTCCTCAGCACAGCGGGATACGGTGCTGCACTTCTAGAGGTGCTGTATGGAAGATGAGATATCAAACTGCAGCCCTGACTGCTTATGGTCATTAAAGATTTTCTGGCACTTCTTGCAAGAGCAGAGTAGTTAACCCTGTGTCTTGGCTGAATTCCAGTTTGGGTGATTACATTTTCCTGACCTTCCTCTGCACCTTCCTCCTTTAGCTGCAGTAAATTGAGAAGATTTACTGACGACAGGGAACCAAAGGTGCAGGGGTAGCATCAAGGAGAGAGATTAAACTCAGAATGATTTGGGACCACAAAACAAAAGGGCACATCAATGCCATTCAGGGTGGAGAAAGTAAAGAAAAGAAACTGAGGACAGAATAAAAGAGGGAGGAATAACACCTTCCATGACCATTGGACTTCATTGCCCAGGAGAAAGCTGTCAGGAGTGGAAAAAGTCTCCAGAGCACAGTTAAACTACAAATAAAGGCAAACACCAGAAATACATTAGCTGGGATTCACCAGGGTGGGATGTCTCCACTCTTGCTAGGGTTATGCAGAGCAGCACGAGAGCCTGCTCTCCTGCACAAACACTGCTCCTCCCTTGTTTTAGTGAGCTTCCAATTGCAGATACCCTGGGCTTAGCACTGCTACCTGTATATATCCCGGGCCATTCCAAAGTCTCCAATCTTAGCCACTCTCCCAGGCCCTCGACAGGTAAGGAGGCAATTCCTGGCAGCAATATCCCTACAGGGAAAGAGAAGAAAAGCAACAGAAAGAGAAGAACCACTTAATCATTTGACAATTTTGCAAATCAAAAAGAGATCAAAGAATAGTACCTACTTTCCTGAACTTCAGAGAGCCCACAACAGAAATGTCAGTGTTTATGGATAACTGTGATGTCTCAAATTCCAATCTTCCCCCATCCCAGCAGGAACAGTCCTGTTCTTTAACGTTTCCTCTATAAACTTCACATAACACCTTCCAGTTGAAAAGACGGGCCTCCTGAGAGCCCTCCTTCACATCAGGAGCTGTTTTTAAGTCTCTAAGGAGTGCAAGAAGCGGAGCTGATTTCAGCAATGTACTAGTCTGGGGAATGATCCACTGATCTGTTCCTAGTGTGCTTGTTCAAATGTTGTCAAATGGTTGTTGCACTGTCAGAGACAGGTACAACAACAATGTGCAGGTGTTGCTCTGAATGCTGAAACTATGGGCCTGTGTATGTAGGTAAAGCTCCAAGCTCCACCTCTGTTGGACTGAAGTAAACCTTGAGATCTGAACAGCACAGTGGCACACCTTATGGGTGACTCTTTCAGAACCATGAATTACCACATCTCTACTCATCTCTACACAATAGGCAGAATTTTAGATGCTTGCCAAACACCCTGTTTTCAGGAGCAGATAACAATAGTCACAAGGTGTTGAACTTCTAGCTGTACTTGTATTGCTGTTCTCTGAGATGGGAAGAAAAAGGTTCCAGAATGAGCAGAGAGGCACTAAACAAACTTCATGATAGGGAGAGCTTTAAAGACTTCTGTCACAAGATTGTGTCCCTTTCCAGAGTAACCAAATGGACTGCACAAGTGCAGGCACTGAGACAGGGCTCAGTATTTTTGGTAAATATACAGGCCTTTTCCAACCTGATTTATAGCAGCTTTTCTGTTAACTGCTTCTATTATTCTGATTTTGTCCACATTGTTTAAAGGTATCCAGCCACTAGAGTGCAGCAGGACATAAACATATGGAGCAGGGCATTAAGAGTCTGTGTTGGCCTGTATGCAAGTCCTGCCCATGTTGTGTTCACCTACCTGTGAATGAAGTGGTTCTCCTCCAGGTATTGACACCCACAAGCAATGTCACGGGCCACGTGGAGCAAGTCCAGCATGGAAAGGGAGGAGGGCTGATTCTACCAAAAGACAAGGGACAAACGTGAGTTAAAAGCAAGAACGTGGTGTGATTTGTCACTGATACAACACTGGGAATTCTTCAACAAGTGACAACCTTCGATGTTAATACACAAAGGGATTACAAAAATGCACAAGAGAGAGTTCATATCCATGAACTATGGAAAGGATGTGCAGACACAATGTCATACAGACCCCAGAGACAGAATTAGAACAGCTGGATCTGACTTTCCAGCTCTATTGGGATGCCCCTGTAAGAATTTACCCCAGTTCTCATGGGAGATGCTTCTGAATTTTCAGCACGATTTTTGGGATCTGTAGCCTGAACCATTCCTCACCAAGTTTCTTTGTATTACTGCTAGCTCCTCTCTAAAGTCACCTTGAACAACGAAAATGACATTTTGTATAATGGCATGAGTCACATTTGCTCTTTCCCTCCTCCACATCTGTGTAGGTTTTATCTTGCCCCTTGGAGCACTGACACAGGTTTGTGTAGCCAACAGCTATGGAAGACTAAGGCTGCCAACTCCTTCCTGCCCCTCTGATGAAGTCCACAGCCCTTGCCAGCAGGAGCCAGATGCTTTAGCAAAAAGGGCAGCATTTGCACTGGCTCACATTTGTCAGCCTCTGAAGCCAAACCATCAGCTGCTGCACTGAGGTGTGAATCAGTGATCCCTGAGGCCAGTCCTGTGGGGGAGGAGGAAATCGCTGCTGCCAGCAGAGTGATGACAAACAACTGGGTGTCAGGGACTGCTTATTCCACAGCAGCCATTTGCCAGCTAAGTGTTTATTGGCCTTAGGTATTGGACCAAACAAGATTATCCCACTCTTTAGCTCTCTCTTATGACACCAACCATTCTGCCCAGTTCCCAAAGTCACACCTGCCCATGGGACTCTCCCGCCAATGCAAAACCCAGCACAGCTTCTCCAGTGTGACAGATGACAGGGACTGCTTCTGTTGAGAAGAAACATAACTCCAGGCTGATGTGATGCTGTGCTGGCTGTCCCACCTGATCTAAACCACTGCTAACTGGGACTGGAAATCTGTTCAGGCTCTGCAGCAGCCAGCAGTCAGTAGTTAGACAGTGGTCATTGGCTGGTAAAACTCAAAAAAGTCTTAATGTCTTTTGAAGAGATTAGAAAATAACTGGCCTCCATACTTGATTAATGAAATAATTGAAAAATGCTACATATCTGTGTGAACAAAGCCTGTTTTTTTTGAGTGCAGGGTCATAAAACAAAATTGTTTGTGACCTCATACCACCTGCCTATATTTTATTATCTACAAAGTATAGTTCATTACATATATATACTTAACTGATTCTTTAGAACATTGGACTGCATCTCCCCTTAAACTTTCCTTTTTATAGAGCATCTATTTCCTGAAAACATAAAGCACCTCTTCCCCCATTTTGTGGGGGAAGTGACTCACCAGCTACACAAGATGGCTACAGTAAGAAAGGATGCACATGCCGCCTTCTTTCCTTTCAGGGTATAACCAAAGGGAATTTAATATCTCAATCTACCCATTCCCTCCTCTTGTGAGCAAGGGTCAGAAGCCTGAAGTGAAAACTGAGCAAAAAGCCCAATTCTTTACTCTGCAATCGATTCCAGACCTGAGCTGTACTGCAAAGCAGTCAGTGGGCTGAAGCTGATTTGAACGACATAGCTTTTTTTGTTTTTTCCCCTTTTTTTAAACTCCCTTCCTTCCCCTCCTTGGATGAATTCCTTCCACCTTTTATTTGGCTAAATACAATTCTAAAACAGATGTGACTGCCCAGCCAAGGACAATTTAGCCATGTAATTTGTTTGAAAAATGGAGGTTTGGGATTCATTTTGCAAGGGGGGCAGCCTTGAGACGCACCAAAGGATTCGCTTTACAGCTTTTGCTCCTCAGATGAATGGATGATGCCAGCTGCAATGCACCGCTGCTCAGGGCAGTGGGCATGCTGGAAGCACTAGTGTGACACCTCCCCAGGTGAGGCTGAATCTTGCCAAAGGTGAATGAAATTCTGTGTATTGTTCAGTGTAATCACTGCTCTGTGCAACAGGCTGCGCAGCACAAAGGACGGGAATCATTTATCCATATATGATTTGTCTCCCAGAGCTCTTCTTTGATTGCTGTGCTGTGTGTGAGAAAGATCAGCGCTGAACTTCCCAGAATGGACAATTCTACAATGCTCATAATGAGCAAAGGCTCCGATTCCAGGTGTCTCCGAATCTATCAGACTGCCTTACTGCAGGTGAGGGGGAAGGGGCATTCCTGTAATAGATGTGAAACTTCATTAGAAATGGAACAGAGAAAGCCTTCAGGGTTGCAAACCCTGGACCCGTGGGGAAGTATGAAGTTTATGGAGTGGACCTAGCTGGCATAAATCAACATACTCCACAAGAGACATTGGTATTGTATCAGTGAGGTTGGATGAACGTATGATAATTCTTACTTAGAGTCCAGAAAAATCATTTCGTGTTGGCTGAACACTGCTTTCATTATTTACATGAAGAACACAGACAAACAACATGCAGTAGTGCTGGCAGCATCTTGATCTCTCATTAAATTGGATCCCATGTTCTGATTTCTTCTGCAGTTGCTCTAGCTTCCCATTTAATGTCCCACACAATGTCTTAAGTCCCACTTCCCTTGGTTCATCTTCTCCTTCACCATTCCCTCTGCTTGCTTTCCTGCTTTTCAGTGGCCGAGTGCATGGCAGAATGCTGCATGTGTCTTGCTCCAAGTCACACAGGTTGTTGCTGACCAGTGGCAAACCAAACAAGGCAACTGTTGATCTCTTTAGCATGGTGCTTTCTTTTTCCTGAAGCCTTGGAATTAATGCCAAGTTAATGCCTTTCACACCTCTATTATTTTTTCCATAACTGGCAAACAAATTTGAAGTTACTGGCAGAGGAGTGGAGAGAGCAACTGGGAGATGAAAGTAGAGAATGAACATGTAAATCTCTTTTTTATTATTAGGCTGAAAGCCGAAATAGGTGGGAAAGACAAGGTAGTAAAATAAATCAGCTAGAAAATACAAAACTGGAAAAAAATAAGGGGAAAGGCAGTAATTCATGCGGTGCTTACAGCAGAATAGGCGGTGGACCTCTGCTACTGAGTCAGTCAGCCAGGTCTTGTGTGTTCAATTAATTCCTTTTGGAAGCAAAGCTCATCAAAGCCTGTTTACTCTGCACTCTTCCTTGTCTTTCCTTTTCTTCAATGGGCCTGAAAAGCTGCACATCCAGTCTGCTGTGCCTGCCTCCTGCCTGTCTTCTTTGAATGAGCAACAGGAGGAAGAAAGCAGCTCAGGGTTCATTAAGAGCAGTGCAAAGATACATCCAGCAGCACTGAGCCACAGGCCTTATGTATGGAGACTCAGTCACACCTCAAGTACATGCAGAGGGTAAATCCACTTCCACAGTTGGATCCCATATTTCACAGAGTACAACGCCCTGCACACATCTCATTCTCATCAGTCAGTCTCCTCGCCTCACAGTTTCTGAGCCGGCAGTCAAACGTGCAACCAGGGGCTGATTTCTCAGCACTCACAGGTGCCATTGGCCCCTCAGAAGCTGCCCCAGCAGCCAGACAATGAATTACTCTGTCATTCTTGCCAGGCAGCCGCCACATGGGATGGTTGCAGAAGCAGGGCAAGGCAAGGGGAAGAAGGTGTTAGATGTGGAGCAAAATCACGTGGATCTGTGTCTGCATGCAGTCAGGCTATCCACATTCATCCAGTTCTTAAAGAGGGAATGGAAACTTTTTCTGAATCAGTTCCAGCTTGCAACTGCCCACCTGCATTTGAAACTCAGCTTCCCAAAGTGCCACAGAAATGTGACTGAGCAGAAAACAGAGGCATCAATCTCAGGTCTACTTCGCTCCTGGGAGCAAGTTAAATGCAGGAATAAGGGAGAATCTTCAAGGTGCTGGGAACAGCCCCTGTGTGTTGTAGTTATTATGGTCAGTCTCAGATAACCTCAAACAGGTCAGGAAACAGAAGGAAAGGAGATGAACGGAAGGAGCTGCTGAGAAGGCAGAAAGAGAAACACTAAGGAAGACATGGAGTGAACCATCTGCCTCTTCTGACATTGGCTTTACAGAGGTTCCACAGAGCTACTGCTAACAGGAACAGAAGTCCTGGCAAGGAAGAACTCATGACTGGGGTGGGGTAAACAGAAAAATCAGAAGGCTCCCATGACAGTATCCTGTAAAGATTAAGCGCTTTTCATCCACGAAAGCAGCTGGCTCATTTTACTCCAAGTAGGTCAGAATTCCTGCTGTGCAAGACTAGTGTTCTTGGTGTTTCCTCACAAGATCTTTATCATTACTGAGCTGGCTTCTCTAATTTAATGAGCTAAAACCCATCATGTTTCACACCTGCCCCTTCACACATCTAGCACAGCCTGGCCTGGCAGTTTTGAAAAGAGCATCTACCAGGCAGTATATCTTGCCCATGCCATTTTGCTCTGCATGGGGTGAGACCAGAGCCCACATTGCAGAACATGATTTTACCCATTTACCTATTACCAAGTTCAGCCCATTTGTATGAGCATCTATAGGTTCTTCAGAAAACCAAACTGTGTTTACAAAGACTTCTTGCTCAGATTCCAGACATTCCTTTCTGGGTGTTTAGCCTTCTTATCCAGGCAGGAACCACTAAATTGCAACCTATTCAAGAGTTTTGAGTCTCACAGACCATTTCATATGTCTGAAAACCACACTGCATGGAAAAAATACAAAGTTGATCTGTTTCCAGATGCCTTAAGGAAGAATCTTATTTATATCTGTTAGAGTCAATCTTCGTCTCTCTTGTACTGACAAAATCCATCACTTTGTCCTATGCTGAAAAAATACAGAGACAAAGTATGAAGCTGGGCTCTGGTCCTAAACTTCAGCAACATCTGTGTGCCTTTCTGGTCCAGGGACTCAGAGCAAACTTTATTCTTCTGAAATACTGATTTCTCTCTAGAAGTTGTAATTTTTTTCTCACATGTTTCTAGCTGACTGTCTTTTCCTATTGATGCTGATTTCAACAGGGAAAATCTTAAAAACTCTGGACTAAAGATATTTGATATTAAGTCAACAGCTCCAGGCCAGATTCTCTCCTTGCCTATGTCAAATTTGAACTGACAGATAGCCACAGAAATGCACCTGATCAGCAGTTTAAACAATGGATTTACCATTAGTAGCTCAACACTTCCCCCAGCCTGCCCCCAGCTGGTGTGAGGGAGGTAAGAGTTGAGTTTAACTTCTGGTTTTTTTAAACTTTGATTTTGGTCTTTCTTTAGGTAGTATCTGCAATGCTATCTAGCAAAGCTTGGGAATGAGGCATCTCTGCATAATCCCAGCAGCATCTGTTCCCTGTACATCTGGGTCTTGCCTCCACAGTGGTCTTGCAGCAACAGAAATTTTCTGACCATCGAAAATTCTGGGAAATAGTATCTGCATGGATCAGCTCTTTCGCAGTTAAGTAGTTGCCTCGTGGCAGCAACTTACTAGATAAAATAAAGTTTTCTCTTTTCTTACTGGTCTGGGTCGTGTCTCTCTCAGGAATGATTTCAGGTCCCCTCCAGCCATGAGCTCCAGCAGGATGAAACGGGGCAGCGCCTGCAGGCTCACCCCAATACAGCGCACGATGTTCTGGTGGTTGAACTTGCTGTGGAGACAGGGAGGCTCAGTTATGGAGCAATTTTGACCCAAAAAGCACAATAGCAGGAAAAATTCAAAATGTTTTGTCGCAGGGAATGTTGGTTTTGTTTGGTTTTTTTTTTTTCTAGAAAATAACAAATTTCAAAGGTAGGCTAACTGGATAAAGCTAAAGCACTACCCCTGCACTCTGTATCTGTCTGCATAGAGCAGGGACAGAGGTGGGGAAGCAGTGGCTTTTGGCTACTTTTCCTCTTCCCTGCACTCTTTCTGGGCTACAGCAAGACTTGAGGGGCATAGGAAGCAGAACATGTCAATAACAGAGTCTGCTCTTAATTTTCCCCATCCAAGGGGCAGAAGCTGGGCTAGGGCAGCATTGTTCCAAGTAATATACTGACACAGGGATCTGCTTGTGTAGGGAATGTTCCTCGAGGTCTAGTCTGTAATACTTCCTTATTTCTCCAGACCTCAAATGTGATGGGAAACCATTCCTATGGATTCCAGGACTCAGACACTGACACTTGACATGACAGCAGCATAAAGTCAATTTGAAGTCAAGCTGTTAAGTTTTGACTAGTCAAATCTAAATTCCTCAGGTTTGTTTTTACCTCATGTTTTCATCTCTAAGAGAAATCAAAAGATCCTATTATCGATTCTGAAAACAGGGCCTTAATTTTTTCATTTTGGATAATGAAAACGAGTGTGAACCCTTTTCAAAATTTAGCCTTTAATCATTTAGTGCCTATTCGTTTGTAAGAAGAATAGAAAAGGATGGTAATGCCTATCCTCTTTCTCCTGAAATTACTGTATAGATGTGCTGCATGTACATCACCTCTAAAGAACTTTTTTTCTCTACAGTGCTGGGCTTTGCAAGCATACACAAGTTCATGTTATTCATACACACCTAATAATGAGAGCTTCCATGAGGAAGTCAAGCTCATCTTGCTCTGAACACACTTCTGGCAATGTCTGTAAAAGAAAGAACAGGTTGACAAGGAGAAGATACTTAAGCTTACAGATGTAGAACACCTGGCACTAACATTGTCTGCAGCAATCTTGTTTCTATAAAAGCAACCTTACTCTAAGATAACAGCTAGAGCATTGCTAAACTAGACTGTGAAGCTTTTGAAAGGTAAATATCAGAACACACAGCCCATCAACACCACTCTCATCCTCCTCCCAGCAAAGGAAATAGCCCAGAGTGCACAGGGAAGTGTTCTGTATATGGGATTCTGCTGTATAGAGAATGAGAAATGAGACCACAGTTCCTGAGCTCCCTGCAGTTCAATGCTCCTACCTTCCAGCAAGATTGTGAACTCTAACCAGCAGCAGGATTGTGCTGCTCTGTAACCTCTAGGAGAAAACAAGCCAGTTAAGTTGCAGAAGGCCCAGAGAACCCTATCAGGATCTCTTAGGATTTAGCTTCACATCCAATGCATATCCATCCTGTAAGGGAGTGCTGAGATCCCAGGAAAACCAGTCATCTCCTACTTGCAGAGTCTTTGATGTATGTGCCAGCTGCTTTTGGCCCTATAAAGACTTTTGGCCTCTGACTCACAAGGCTCTGGACAGATTACCACACCAGGTGTAGAATGGGGAGGATGGACAGAGTGGATTTAGTTCTCATAACTGCAGTCTGCTGTAGCTCAGTGGGAAATCTTTGCCTGTTTACTACTTACAGACCTCTTTTAATAGTTTCACATGCCCATATGTTACAAGCTGTACCATTGCTGTGATGGATTAAGTGTTGCAACAGAGCAGCAACCTTTCTAGCCACATCCTTCAGTACTTAGACCAAAGCTTCATTCATCTTCAATTTTATAATGCATTGGGACTCTTGGGTGAAAGGTGCATGAAACCATCATGATAACTCATACACTGTCACTTACTTTCACAGCCACCTGCAAGGGAGTGGGGTCGCTGGGGATCCCTGTCACCTGACCTTCATATACCTCACCAAAGGCTCCGTGGCCCAAACCCCTGGACAGACCAGAGAAGACAAGAAGGTTTTACTACAGAGAACAGACATCATAACACTGTGGACACAGCTCACAGAACGGGCTCACAATTTTCATGGCAGTGAAACAGGGAGAACTGGATATTGACACTATGCAGGGGACCAAACCTTGATGTGATCTTTCCTGGGCCTACAATGTATTTAATTGGTAGGGAAAGCAATCCTTGGAAGTGAACAGTCCCCAGTGAAATCGAGCTGCTGGCACTGCAGCATGTAATGGAGAGCACTCTTCTATGGCTTTGGTGTCAGTGCTCTAGCGGTGGGTGCTCCAAAACAGGTCAATAAAGATACGACTTAAGTCTAGGTGTTTACAAACCCTAAATACATTAACAGTTCCCATAATGTTTCTGCATCACCATTAAACAAAACATTGAACAAGAAACTAGGAGGCAACAATGATTCTCAAAAGTCCTGAATTCTAAACCAAATGTCTTTTCCTGATTTATTGTGTGATTCTGGGCAAGTACCTTAGCCAATAAATGGTGATGATAGTGCTTTGTAAAGCACTCAGCTCTAGGAATTCAAGCTGAGAATTGTTTCTAGCACTGATCATATTACAAAATTTACAGTTCTATTTTGAATAAGATTACAAGAGAAAGAGAAGGGAATGAAAGCAATCAAACAATAGGTCCTGTTCCAGGAACTTGTGATACAGATTTTGCAAACCTGTCTATTCAGTCTTCACTCTCTTAACGTTAAGTCAACTGGTATAACGATAGTTATTCCACATCGGTGGTGTGACATAACAACCCAGGAAACCATGGCAGAGAATAAGGCTTCATCCCAGATCCCGCGTCCCTCTTAACCCTGCATGGGCTGCACATTGGACAGTAGTATATCGAGCCTCTGAGAGACATTCCTGCATCTCAGTCCAGGTGAAAGGCTCTCAATAAAGCTCTCTCCTACAGCACACACTCTCCTGTTGGAGCCAGGTCTGGCCTGGGAGCTGCACTGATTACGTCTTATGAAGTATAGGTGGACTGTTTTTCTATGGGCTGTTGCCCTCCTGTCCATTTGAACAGACTAGAACAATCTGCTCTGCTGTTGACTAAGCTCTGTCTAACAATTTTGCCAGGATAAAGACCAGTCTAGGCAGTGAAACCACAGTGAGGGCTTGTGTTGCCTGTGACTCAGCCACTTCATTTAATAAAATTTTGTAGATATCAGATTGAGACACTATTCTTGGCTCTTCCTGACCAACTTATTACCAACTAAGGGTAGAAAACAGATGTCTACAGTTCATAACTCACCCTCCTTCCAAAAAGTATACCTTCCCTTCCCTTATCAATTCCTGGCTGTATCCTCTGCTATCTGCAGCTCACCACAGCTCAAAAATCCGTTCAAAGACTAAGTGACAAAGGAAGCAGCAGCACAAGGCACACTGGAAACTTCCAGTTGCAGTCTAGAAAGATGTGCAAGTAAGGGGAAATAAGATAACAGACAGCAAAACTTCGGACTGCAAAGACTGCTCTGAGCATCAACTTTTTTAGCACCTTAAGCTCCCTAGTTTTCCAAGCTCTCCTGCTTCCACTTGGTTTTTTCTATAAAACTGCACGGTATCAGGGTCACGTCACATTCACAAGTACCCTGCAGTAGAACAAAGTGTGTAAGAACTCCAAATTTTCAAGTTTTTCTTAGGAGACCTTTTTGAGCTTTCCAGAAGTTCCTATCTAGACACTACTATCCTCCTGGCTTTATATTCCTGCCTTTTTAATACTGTCTAGCATTTTCAACCCACTGTTTTCCCTGATACTGTACTTAAGGATGTCATTGTCTATACCAAAGATCCCATTAAAGACTTTATAAAGGAGCCTCCTGCAAGCCTCAGCCTTCCCAGCATTTCATCAGTTCATTCTGGAAATGGGCCATCCACTGCACTGCCTGTATCTGAACTGCTGGTGATGACTATTCAGTTCTCCTCATAGTCCCAGGAGATTAACACTACACCTCTAAAAGTTCAACTGCCAAAATCTAGGCCCTTCCACACAAGCCCAACTACTGCAACTACTGAAAAGGGGCACGTGACTAAAAGTGCTTAAGGATTTGTATGTGCCTGCACAGAGATGTGCGTTCGCACCTCTCTGAGAGAGTCAGTCTACGTGAGTGTGTAGAGTGAAGGATGGGGAAGGCAACAATGAATTTACCGGATGAGGGAGATGTTTTTTCGAGGCACCTCTTTAAGGTCACTAATGGATGTGGTCTTTCCTGCAAAGCAGTAGTTGGGATTGTAGTCTGTCATTATAGTGGAGGTACGCAGCTTGCTCAGTTTATATTCTGGGCTCTGTAACTCCATCTGCATGGCTTGTAGCTCCTGGTGCTTCCGACGATAAACTAAACATGGAGAACACAGTCAAGCAGAGACACAGACTGACTTTGGAACAGGACAGCAGCACATTTCGCTAGAACTGGCTGTTGTATGGCCAGATTTCAGGGAATGAAACCAGACAGGGACACCGTCACATTTCTGTACATCAAATAATTACAGACAGAAAATGGAATCTGAAGATACCAAAGGAACCTTTGATTTACACATCCCATGAAGAAACAGGCTTGCTTGTGAACCGTTTTGAAGAAGTAAAATTAATTTCACTTGCAGAGACCTTAGATTTCACAGTTCTGTGGATTTTGTTCTTCTCTATTTAGTTTAACTGGACATTCCAAACATGAGTCCAGTTCCAAACTTGAGGGAGCTGGGGTATAACCAACTTTCCTAAATCACGCAGAAGTCACTAAAGTCTGAAATGAATTATTGCGTCATATTCTTCAAAATGGATAGACCAAGCTGTTTGCTCAGAATAACACATTGTACACAAAAAATAGCTCATTCTTCAAAACTTCTTCTGTTTCTAAACAACAGAATTGGACTGCATTTGAAATCAGTTTATGCTGGTGTTATATTCCTTGCATCACTTCACTGATACTTCTGCTATGTCATTAGGATCCACATCTTGAAAGACAATATCCTGTGGATATTCCTTGAAATAGTAATTGATATTGCAGGACTTTTTCCAAAGCAAGATGACAATCATGAGCAGGTTAAATCACTATTGATTTCTGTGGGAGCTGGACTGGGCCCAAAGACTGTGATGGTAATGGCTACTGCATCTTCTCCAGGAGATATTGCTCAGGGGAAGAATTTAAGGGGTAAACATGCACTCGCAAAGGCAGATGGATGTAATGACCTATCCACAAACCCTTCCTGTCCTCCATTTTCCTCCTCATTGCCTTTGCTTTGATTTTTTAAATCGCTACTCTTTCCTGAGATGGAAATGATAGACTAGTTGGATGGAAAGAGGATTACTGTTCCACTCCTGAGAAGTATTTAGTAATTGTAAAAAGTACTGTCAGGCCAGAAATCATACATGTAGGACCATGTGTGTGCAACTGATAACTCCTGAAATCCTCAAAACTGAAACAGCTGCGCAAATCTAATTTAATAGTTGCCATTTGCTGCTCTAGGTACATCCCTCTCCTCCCCCAGACTATACACTGTGTGGACAAAGAAAGGTGGCAAAGCTGAGGTTTGTATCCCTGGCTGCTTTGCATTGATTCAAACCCATTCTGCTTGCACCGAATGCAGGTGAGCAATTGTTCAAAACAAGAACATGAAAGGGTGAAAAATACCTTTCAGAATTTCAAATAAAAATGCCAAGAATACCCACATCCTACTAAGTAGCAGTTTGTAAAACGGGAACTTATGTGAGAGTTGTACATTAAGAGGCAAAATGTGTATGTAGGCACACAAATAAAGAAGCTTTTAGGCATTGAACAGCAGCAGATCTCACAAAATCAGAAGCAGCTGTGTTCTGGCAGCTACAGTACAACAGAAACAATAATGTCTCTTTCGAGATGCAGTCAGTAACTGAAGCCTCCTCAAATCGGTCATTGTGGTTAGAAACAACTACTGAAATCTGAAGCTAAGGCGTGTGTGTGGGAAGGTGTTATTAAATACAGCAGTAGCTAAAAACCTGAATCCTTTTGCCTCCCAGGACCCAATTATCCATGGCTCAGATCCAGCCCTCATATGAAAATATCTTTTGCAGAGAAACACTCACCTATCATGATTCCCGAAAAAGCCAACATTAAAACAGCCACCAATGCTGAAGTCAGTACAGACAAGACCAAGGAGAGAGGGAGATGAACCACTGGCTCAGCTGTAACAGAAGAAGGAGAAGAAGGAATTACATATTTGAAATGATCTTACAGGAGCCACTTTTTTTGCCCCTTTTTTTTTTTTTTTTTTTTTTGCTATTCCTTCCGTTTACTCATCTGCTGCTCCTATAGTGTAGAAGCAATCTCTGGCACGATCAGTTCACAGGATCTATGACTTCTCATACCTCATTGTTTCACATTCCTCAATTAATATAAACCCATTAAAACAGATGGTTTGCTATCAATGAATTAACATGTGAACTCTCTGGGTATCAAAACAAGACCATAAAAACCAGGGGCAGGAGGTTGGGGAGGTGGAAAGAACATTACATTGCCAGGGTTAAAGTGCTCCTGTCAATGCCAAATCACAGAAAAAGCAGAAGGAGGACTGCAATGTATCATCTCCTAAATGCATCTAATCCAGGCAGAAAAAACTGATAACAGTTAGTGCAGTGCAAGGTATTCTGTAGCTGCATCCTCATTTGGGATCACACTATCAAGGTTTATTTCACCTTGACAAAATGGCCATGCTTTTTACCCATCTTACAGATAGAAATGGTAAAAACACAGAACAATTTTCCCATGCCAGTGACAAATCTGAAATCAGGATCCCAAAAGCTTGGAGTCACTGCTCTAACTGTTGTGCAAGAATATGAGGCAAACCTAGTAATGGAGCTCTGACCATTTAGTTTGTCAAGACAGGCAAGTACAGGCACATCTTTAGTTTTCCTCAGAGAGATCTCACACAGAATTTCTTACGGATTCTGCGCCTGCATCTTAAATGCCCAAATCCACAGGAATTATATTTTCCTTCACCTTGCACATTGTTTTTGTTCTTAAGAGAACTGGCCTGGAATCTAACTTTAGCTGGAAAATTCCTTCACTTTCATGATTTCAGAGCAGAATGTGAGCACCAGCGCAACCAAGCAAAAAATTTGTCTCTCCGCAGATCTGCCCAGTATGTCAAACGTACTGTAGAGCAAAACAGTAATGCTGCTCAGTGTACCAGTCCTCAGCAATCATGCTGCTATATCCTAGCAAAATAACACTGCAGCAGGAAAGAAGGAAACATTCAACAGAAGTCAGGTTTAAGAAAGACTAGATTAAACACTTTCAGGATGTCTTACAGTTCAAACTACAGTATTTGGCCATGCACTTTCCGTTTGACATGCTAGCAGTACACCACGCACCTACTTACCTATGCAAGACACACCATCCTCAGCCAACTCTGTGCCTGGCTCACAAAAGCAAATGACTTTTTGACTCTCATGATCAACATGGCACTCGTCCATCTCACAGTGACTGCAGTTAAGATGCAGCCTAATATCCACCTCTCCATGTCCCTCTGTCACTAGGGAGTGGATGAAGAAGCTGAGTTAATTACTGTAAAGACCATTCTTACAATTCCCTTGGGCCTTGACAGAAACAGGGGACATGGTGGTTGCTGTTGCATGATGTGGCAGGGTGGGCCCCATCTAAGAAACCAGTTTCTCCCCACCTTTCCTCACTAAGAAAATAACATGTGACAGCTAACAGCCCCATTGCAGTTGAGGTTTCCCTGGCTCTCTTTGAGCAGATAGTCCTACCAGGTTAGCAAGGAAGCTGCTGCCAAGGCTAAGGGAAACTTGCCCTGGCAGCGGTCCATGGGGCTCACCATTTTCTTTCCTGGCCTTTACTCATTTCAAGATCAAGCACTGCAATGTTTTCAAAACTTTCTGGCTGAATCTGCCAGGCTGGAGTGCATCTGTATTTGAAAATACTTCTGGTTATTCTAAAGCAAACATATTTTTTTTTAACAAGTAGATATTTTTTTGTGTGTTTCATGAACACATCACAAACATATTAATGACATTGACTTCTGGGCAAACACAAGTTGGAGTGGCAGTATTCATCACTCCCATGTACTGCTGAGCAGCAATGCAATGTTTTCTCTAGAAACAACCTGGCCTAACTTGGATACTTTGCTGAGGGATGCTTTAAAGACCTTGCTTGTCAGTGAATCGTCAGGTGTTTTGCCTGTTTCTTTCCTAACGTATCTGACTTATGAGGTTCTGTTACCAGTTTCCTTGCCCAAAATTATTCTATAGGCTAGTAGACTATACTGTTGGGGGTGTTTCCTGATAGCCTTGATGTTCTCTCTACCTGCTTTCTTCCTACTTCTGTCTATTCTCCATTGTACTTTGCCATCTTTCTGCCTCCTAATGTCCATGACACTAAACTGCACCCAAAGGACTGTAAACTGTCCTACAGATGCAAACTATTTCTAAAATGAAATAAGCCCACTAGAAAACTTCTGAACAATATGAATACCTTTAAGTGCTGGAGTATATAAAGTACCAATTGGATTAATAAAGGACACACCATCCTCCCCATCCATCTCTGGGTCATTGTCCACTGCAGCATTGCCACCTATGTCAAACCAGAAGTTACCTTAACAGTCTGAGGCTCAGTGCCAATGAAATACAGATAAACATTGCAACATGCATGATTTCAGCATATTTAGGGATGCATCCAAATGAGAAAAGAGAAACATTAAGGTATGTAATATATAGGGAATATTTAGCGAGTTGTTGCATGAACCACTGGATTTATTTTTAGAACTTCAATTTAATAACAGTAGTTTTGACAATCAATTTATTAGCTCTGTTTTGGGCAGGTTGTTGCAAACTAAGGTGCAAACTTCATCTTTAACCATTTGGATGCTGTGAAACATATAAGCCCTTCTTAAAATTTATGCAGCCAAGAAACTGGAAAACACCAGTATTCAAGGGCTAAATTCAGTACCCTTGCTGACTGAGGTATTTAGTACATCAGCAGAGGGAATGAATAACTTGCTATCCCTCTTCTCCTTTGCACCCTGAATGCAGGGTAGTCCACCAGGAGTGGGGACTGAAGGAATTTATTTGTTGCTCATTTGTGCTTGAGCATATAGAACATATCTGAAGAAAAGTATGGGCAATGCATAAAAAATATTAGAAGCACAGTACAAGCCATATACTCTGTATTACAAGCATGCAAAGATTCCCCCACCCCACCCAAAAAAAAAGTTTTCCTCTTTAATTGTCTTCAGCAAAATTAAAAGTGTCATGTAAGGCATTCTGTTGGAAAAAGAAGCATTACACAATAACATTGGTACAAAACATGCACTTAATCATTTAAACTCACTACTTCCTCTGAGGATTTCTAGTCTACCAAATACTTAATTTATGCTGTGGAGAACCAGGAGTTAAAGAGTCCACCACAGTGCAGATGGCTGAAGAAACTATGTGGCCCAGGAGACTTTGGGTTAGTAGAGATCTTGAATCTGGCCCACACCAGTTGTAATCAACATAATGCCATCTGACAGCTGTCCTGAGACCCGCAGCACATGAAATTAGCTCCTTGTTGACTGAAGTCAACACCACTGTTGTTATTAAGAGGGGTCCTGGCTGGCAGCCTGAACCTCTGCCCCCAGAGACACCTGTGCAGGACCAAGGCCCACCCACAGCAGGGTAGGGTAGAAGCTGCATCTTTCCCCTGGCATAAAGTCTGGCTGCCAGTCTCCGGGACCAAAGTCCTCCAAACACAGGTGCTGGCAATGGGAGCATATAGCCTACAGCTCCTCCTTCTTCAGCACTGTCACCCCAACATGAAAGGCTCAAGAATCACAGCAAGGTCTTAATGTCACATATTGCAGAGCGCAAAGCCAGGATTACAGCTGAAGGACTGACATCTGGCTGTTTGCTCAAAGACTAAATGCCATACGTTCATCTAGTGCTAAAAAGGCAACACACAGACATACTATTACATAACAGTTAAATATACTAGCTACAGGAGAATTATCTATCAGCATTTTGCTGATTATAAGCACTAAAGGAGGGGAAGGGACACCTTGAACACGAAGCCACTTTACCTATATATCCTCCGCCTCCTCCACCTGAGGAGCACCCCCCTCCACCCCCTCCGAAACCCCCTCTTGTCTCCCACCCCCACTTCTTCATGGCCTGGGGGCAGGATCTTCCTCCAGTAGCACCTTCCAGCAAGGATTTTCCTGACCACAGGAAGGAAGTGTTATCATTCCAGCCACCTCCACCACCTGCAGTTGAGAGAAGAGAAATGGCACAGGTAGGGGTTATTTTTTGTGTAAAAAACACTGCAAGGATCTGCAGAACAAGCACCTACTCAAAGCACTTCAGCTGAAAGTGAGAATCTCATGCCTTGGTTAGAAGAGGGGATGTGCTTGCTACACAGTGCTACGGTGACCTTTCTGTAGGGCTTTTGCCATGTTAACTATCTGTGCCTCTTTTCACCTACCATACAATGACAAATATTTTCTACAGAAAATATAAAAAGATATTCTTGCCTAGTCTCCAACCACTTATTTCTAGTTTAAAGAGCCTTCCCCTTCTCTTCGAAAAAAATACTTTTGAAAAAAAACCTGTGTCAGTTCTGAAGTGGAACAAAAGGAATTTAGTGAAAGAGGTGTGAAAACATGTCCCAGCCCGCTCTCCATACAACATACTCACCAGTGACTCACTTTCAGCTCTGCTGGTTGTTCAGTCCAAGGTCTCTTCACAGAGACTTCTAGCCAGGGTGCAATTATGCTCTTTCTGCATAAGCCAGGGAAACTGTGAGTATGTCTATGCAGCACAAAACAGTGCAGGGAGCAGGATGGCCACATTGGTGCTGCAAACTCCCACATCAAACATTCAAACAACTTTGTTTATGAGAGGTATTTTGGGAGAATTGCTATGGCTATACAATCTCTTATACCCTTATTTATGCCAAGTATCCAGCACTTTGGGTACCTCCTATTTGCATCTCTTATGATTCTATGTTCCCCTGAACTGCGTTTCCATGAGTTTTGCCTCACCTCCTTGTGAGGAGGAATCTGGGAGTGCCATATATTCTCAAAGGTTTTCTTAAAAAGAAAAAACTTTCCTTACCTGCAGCTCCTGAATTTCCATTCACCCCTGGAATAGAGGAGTCATTCTCCAGCCTTTCTGGATGAAATGTGTCCTTTTTGGCCCTGTAGGCCCTGCCACCACCTCCTGCTGCAATTATTAAGGGGACTGGTTCTCCATTCTCCATCTTAACAAATTCAGAAATAAAGGCAGTGTTCAAGCTGAGTCAGGTATGTACATAAAAGTTCAGCCACACAGTAGGTACTGCACGTTGCACCAAGCAGGCATCTAGGACTGCTCAGCACTACAAGTTATCATTGCATTTTTTATGCACCCATATCCAGAAGATTAATGCATAGCACTAGTCCTCCCAAGTTCTGCAACAGGGAACAGTGGCATCAGCAGCTCTATGGATTGTACCTGCTCAGCTGATGGCTCTTAGAAACCCTGTAATGTTACTGTGTGATGACTCTCATCAAATGAATCACTGCACTATACAGTGCAGTATAATGTCTCCTCTGGCAAAGGACTGCTTGAAATCAGTGTCTGGAATGAGTACTGTCTCAGCTAGTACATGACAAAAAAGATCAGTGATCCTTAGCTATAGGGTTGCCAACAGAAAACACACAGGCTATTCTCTACTTTTCTTGTCATTGCACTGTAGAGACCAAATGTATAGCTGAAGCCTTATGTTCTACAACGACACAGTTGAATAAAGTCCTGGAGAATTTGCCCTTTGCTGTAGAATTATGCTTCAGCATCTCAGTTTCTGTTGAAAAACATCCCGCTCAAACCTCATGTTTGCAAAGAAAATTCCAAGCCACTGAAGCAAGTGTGGCCATACTGCACATCAGTTTGAAGGAGTGTGAAGGGCCCGCTCAGATCACTACAGCTATCAGTTGGAAATTAAGGATACTCAGAGGTCACTTTGTGTCCCCCTTCCCTGATGTGTACAAAGGATTTTCAGATGTTTCAGGCTGCAATACTTGAGGCCAGTGGCAGGATGTGTTCATGCTGAAGGTGTATGGCGGACTATGTTTCCATACCTTAAATATGTAGGTGGCACCACCCCCGCCTCCACCTCCTCCTGCCCATTCATTGACACTTCTGTTCACACGTATCTCTTCTTCGATCACATTGTTCTCTCCAATGCAGACTTTCTGTATAACATCATTAGTCTGCAAATAGAAGACCAGGTCTGAATGAAATCTCCATGTCCTTGTACATTCTGAAGCCTCAGGGATGCTTCACCCTCCCAAAGCAAGAAATTGTCCTCCAGTGAAACTACGTAAGCAGAACCAACTGAATGCTCTCCTACAAGAATCTCGCTTTGGGCTTCAGCCTCTGTCAGAAGAATTTGTTGCCATTTTTAATAGAATTATTTTGAATCAAGCTCGGTGCTGACATCTAATACCATGTACAACAGCTCCACAAACTTTTAGTGTATAAAATAGAGCAGAATTTGCTGCTAATATTTCCTAGCACTACCTATTTGCATTTCACAAGTGGGGGGAACAGAGTAACAGCAATGCTGTGACTTGTTCCATGTCACACAGCAGCCAAATGGCAGAGACACAGAGAGAACCTGAGTTTCTTCATTTCATTTCCAGTGGGCCAAACAACCAATGTGTATTTATCCAGAACTAAGATTTGCTGGTGGCTCACATACCAGAGCTAACTTTTACCTAGGCAGTCATAGGATGGACACTAGCAATGAGCTCAAAATAGAACAGCCACCCAATATTTATCTGGACTTCCAAGCAAGTTTTGATGTTGATCTGATGCTTATGCTGCAGCAGCAATTTTACTGTAATTACCAGTTCAAAGCCAACCAAAACAGCAGCAATCCCACGTTTGATTGCAATGTTCACCTCATGTTAATGAAAATACCTCTCTAAAAAGGCTTCATATTTCTTACTAGCATTTTTCCCCCTCCATCAATTAGCACCAAACAATGAACTTTCTATATTAGGCAAATCACTGGATTCACTAATGATTTCAAACACAACATTAAACCATAATTTATAAGTACTTCAGGACTATGATCTAACTATTGTTTTGGTTTTAAATTGGAACACCAAAGTGCATGACAAGCAGGACTCTGCTGTAAGCATTTTCAAGTTGCAAACTTTGCTTCTAAGCTTATTTTACCTTACAGGTTTTATGTCAGTAGCACTATCTTGTTATATGGCACACAGAATTTATTAACCAAAAGCACTTTTAGGGAAAAATGCATAAACAGTTGTTAGAGTAGAATTGACCTTCTGTTTCCTTCTATTTTCATGTGTGTGGTTTCTTTTGGAAGAGGAACCTCATAAAAGCATCCTCAAATTACAAATGATTCTGCTGACCACAAAATGTGTCCTAGGTTGTGCCAGAGAATGAATAGCATCCATTTTGTGCAAGCAGACTTGCCTATGGAACTAAACAGTCCTCCTTTCCCTATTTTTCCTTCTCCTTAATTGATTTGGTGTTGGGTGGGAATGATTAATAAAACGACAAAGTCAATGACCCAAAGGAACCACTAGATTACAAAAAAAATAATCTTTCATGGCAAAGACATAACTGATTACAATCCAATCTAGTAAAAGTCCCCTCTACAAGTCAATGCAATCTCTTTGCTTCAATGAAAGAATTACATTAGCACTCAATAAATTCTCACTAAGATTACAGTGGTCTGCAATTTAATGAGTCCATATATTACACTCAGCTGGAATGTCCTACTTATAGACGTTAGATGGAAGTTTGAGTTAGGGAATTTCTCATTTCAAAAAGGCTTTCTATTAATGGTTTGTTTGCAGATATGTGTAGTTCTAGTTTTAACATTATTTACTTCAGCAGCTGGCCTTGAGAACCCCTCTTTCTTGTCTATATCCTTCAACCTTTTGTCTGCTGTAACAGACTGCTAAGCTTTCCTCTCTTGAATGTCAGCCATTAACAGCTGAGAAACTTACAGCATGTAAATTCAAGCCCGCAGGTGAAATTTCATCAGATCATGCTTAGTTTCCTCTACAAGAATCTCCTATTCCCTCTTTCTCCAAAGAATACTAAATGATTAATAGATTATTGTGCATGTGAACAGTGGAAGTTGCACCTTTCTGTCAAGACATTTGCAGCAGCAAGGATTGGTTAGTAACACAAAAAGCAGGACTGACCCAGCAGTGACTGATTTGTCTCTCCTATTCCCACACAGAGAATAAGCAAACAGGCCCTGTGAAGTGGGTGTCTCAAGAGTTGCAGAGGACTATGACAATGGCAGGGCTGGCCTCAACAGCAGAACAAGGGCAAAGCCCTGTGAAGGCAACCTTGAAGACTGATCTCCAGAGAAAAGGAAGGCAGGGTTGTCTTTTCTCTCCAAAAAACCACACAGATGGTTCGAGATATGCAGATCAGTCAGGAACCTGTAGTGTGTTATCAACAGGGCCCAAATGTTGAAGAGGAAGTGAGCACAGTGACACGGTGCTTCATCTTTTCACACTCATGTTTTCCCAGTAAAACTGTACCTATTCCTTGAACCATATAACCCAAGCCCCTTGAGGACAACATTATTCTATGTGAACAGACAAAACTCCATGGACTGGTAGAAGAGACTAAGGCAAAACACAAAGGCCAATCACTTACACTAGGACAAGCATCTTCTCCTTGCTGTCCCACCAAGATATACAAAGTATCATCCTTCTGGAGGTCAAAAATTCCCAACACAGACACACCGTGGGACCGCATCATGGTGTTCTTCCCTCCTTTCCCACCAGCAGCTCCATAGCCTGAGATGCTGCAGGAAAAAAACAAAACAAGAGCCTGGTGCCTGAGTTGTTCCAGACAGGTGGAAGGGAGCACAAACCAATTCTGGGCACTGAGAATTTTGCACACCTGAACACAGTGTCACAGAGCCATGCCCTGAAGACCTGACATTCTAAATAGATCTAAACCCAAAGCTTGAAGACCGAGGTTTTCTGCTCTACTTGGATCTGTGAACTTGGGTAGCTACAAAACAGATTCTTTCACATGATTCTTGGGCAAACACTGCTCAGGACAGAGGGAGCAAGTCCTTATGTTTCCAACTTTAATATATGAAACACATCTTGTTTCCCGGAAGGTACATCCTTGAGAGGTTTGCAGCAAGAAATAGAAAGAACAGAAGCAGGAGAACTACTGAAAACAGGACATATGGCTAAAGAGAACATTAGGCATGAGATTGACAGAGGGAGATTTGAGAAAGCAGACAGTATAACTGGTCCTGGTAGCATGGACCAGATGGAAAACAGCTCTCTTATTCCCAGGACCAGAGGAATACAGAAGAGTAGATGGAGACGACACTACCTGCAGAAAACAAAGAAGGCAAAAGTCCCCTGGCTAAACTCACGGTCACCAGGAATGTCTTACTGTCTCCAGCCAGGAGTGGACAGGTTGCATACAGGCTGCTCTGGGATTTTTATTTCAAGCAGTCACGATTCAGAGGTGCTTGCTGTTGTTGAGGTACCCAAAGATTTGGCTGTACCGCAATATTGCTCAGCTTCTTCCCTCTTCCTTTCTAGCAATTTACATACTTGAAGCGGCTTTTAACAGAGGATTTCAAAGCACTTTATAAAGGTCATGATTAAACACACATCTCTGCTGAAACAAAATACAGAGTTATTCAGCTTTCTGAGCAAGTGAGTGATGGCGCAGCAAACTCATTTTAGATCTGAAATAAGCAGGTGATTCTCCACTGGCATTAGTAGGTTTGCAGCTATTTCTGTGAGAGCAAAAGTCCACCTGGAGCATGAAACCAGTGACTGCAGGACTGAGAACACAAAACTTCTTCTTGGCTTCCTACCAGTCACAGTTTGGGTGCTCTGTTTTAGCACATCCTCTCCTTTAGCACCTGGCTGGTCTTTGCCCAGCACAGTCCTCTGTGCAAACAGGCCACTGTGCAGTGCCCATTGTGAGTGAGGACCCTGAACAGGTTGGGCAGCCAGCTCACTTCCAGCCAGCAACTTGTCTTGATGATTAGCAGGAGGAACTCACCTTGTGACACTGCTCTGAGGCAGCCAGCATGGAGCAGTCCTGATGTTGAAAAACTATGGAGCAACAAGTGTCTCATAAAGCATATTAGATCCTTGCAATGTGATATTATGTTCATGCCACTGCTGATAACCAGAGCAATCAGTCCTTAGTAAGGCTGTACTGGAGCCAGCAAAAAAAGTGATGGACACAGCACTGGGCCACCCTGAACAGATGCTGCATGAATCTGAAGACTGAGCTGATTTGCTGTAGAATTTTGTAATGGCTAATGAGGTGCACTACCAGGCACAGCAAGCTGGCAGGGCTAATTGGCTGCCAGTAGGGGCCATATTTTTCTGTGTAAGAACAGATTTTGCACATAAGCAATGATGTCAGGAAGTTCAAGAGAACCCAGTTTGGCCTCATTCAAAGTCTGCAGACAAATAAAAAACAGTAGATTGAGGTGACTGGCATTCACTATTCAAAATGGGTGTCACTATTTAAAGAGACAGGTTATCTTGACTTCAAACTTTAACACAACCCCTTTCATTAGGCACAACTTTCATTTACAGGAGGAATCCATTTAACCATATTGGCCCTGAAGAAAGACTTGGAGCACCCTGAGTAGATACACTAAGAACACAGAACACCTCCCACTGTCTTCCTCCTTTTCTTTTACTATAACACTTGTAGGAACTGAAAAAGAAAATCACACCCTTAGGGATCAGGATGAGCAGAGTGCACTGGTTGTGCAAACCAGGACTAGAGAAAAACATCCACCATAACATCTAGGTTATGGAAACACTGGAGCTAGTTTTGATAGTATGAGAACATGCAGTACCTAGGCTGGCTGACTTAGAAGGACAACTTTTTGCACTCCACTGGGCTGTGTTCTTGTGCCACCTTACCAGAAGGGACCATAGAAAAGAGAGGACAGTGGAAGTGACAACAAATGGGTCGCTCAGCAAAATGAGCCAGAGACTCTTCCTTTAAAAATGGAAAGAAGTTGGATAATGGATGATAGCAAGTAATTTATTACAGTTCGTGTCTCTCATACTTGATCATAGGCCTAGATGACAAGACGTTCTGAATCCTTAGAATTCCTTCTGAAGACTTTAGAAGGAAATCTGGAAGGAAAAATACTCTTATAGAGTGTCTACCTTTATTGTTACATAATGTGCAGTCCCATGTGAGCAAACCAGAGCACATAAGACTCCAGTTTTCAAATGTGGGTAGTACAGTGTGTGGCAGCCTATCCAGACTCTCATAGGTGGTGCGGTTTTCTGGGTGTGGTTGGCTTGTGCTAGTAGAGTTTTACGCACAGGTGAGCTGCCTGTATTTTAATAACGTGTATTCTGCCTCATGCTCACAAAATCAATATCCTTTTTATGCAATTTTTTAATGGAATTATCAGGAGTGTACATTACATAGTGTAAAACACACTGATATGGCATAACAGCAGCTTTCTTAAGAGCCTAGCAGCCAGCTGGAGGATTTATCTCCAGGTCAGGTATATCAGCAACACTATCAGGCTGACTTACAGGACCCACACTGCAGCAGGCCTGCAGGGGAGAGCTAAATACAGGCAGTGAGTCCAGACTCTGGGAAGCCCTAAAATTGATATTGCAACTTGACATTTTCCTAGGGCTATGCTATACTGGGGGACTCTGCTGCCCCTTCAGCAGACCAGAATCAGGAAGATGTCAAGTTAATTTAAGCCCACAATTGCCGCCTCCTTTCCCCAGGCTCTGAATTTTCTACTATAGCCTTAAGAGGTGCAGAAGAGAAATGTCAGCCATTTATATGTATGTTACACATGACATTATACATCTATTATCTATACAGAACCTTAAAGTCTGTTAGGTCTTTTATAGAACTTAAATAGACAGGTCCTCCCTGCAGGGCCCCTGGTTTGTATTGTGTAGCAAAAATCAGCCTACAGTTGCATGGCAATTCTAGCTCTTCTTGGACTCTGATATTAAAGAAATGACAGTGTTGTAAGTTTATTGCCTGTTCTCTTTTGGGCTGTACTTTAAAACCGTATTTACTAAATGCTGGTCCTGAAAAATTCTGTTCACCTCAGGCACCTCATTGTTGATAGCTGGATAAAATATCATTAATGCTTTTTTCATTACCATCAATCCTTGTGGTAATAGGCACTCAGGCAGAACTTATGCCTAGCCTAGCAAGTTTCTCAAAACTGCTTTGCACTAGACCTCTGTTAGAGACTGACATCTTGCCTCAATATTAACATTCTTTTTCAACAAAAAGAAAAAGATGGGACCAGTAAATTTTAACTGAAATTTGTTCAAGGCTTTCAGTGGAATGTTATGCTTTGAAATCCATGATACCATCACTGGTTTCAATATGGAATGTGGCATAAAAACCTACCACTAGACAGTCACTGATTCAAAATGACAGTTCTGCTTTACAAACTGATGCATGTAATGGCTTCATGTTACCATTCAGATACAGTAAACTACAATTCGATTGTACTTCTTTCCCCAGCAAGAGCAAAGAGAAAAAAATGGTGAAAATCTGATTAAGTAGCATTGAACCGTATCTGATCATCTCTCTTGGAAAATAACTCCACTGAGGGATTTAAGCATTAGAACCCTCAGTATCACACAGCCTACCATTTAGGTGGCTGGCTTCCAAAATCAATTTTACAGTGGTAAGCCAGGCTTACAGGCTCAACTTGCCATGTCTAGATTCAAAAAAGTGAAGATGCTGAGCAGAGGTTGATGCAAGCTCTCCCTTATGAAACGCTGACATATGATTGTGCCTCCTATGCCAGGTGAAGAGTGGGAAAAACTCATTCTGATCCCAGAGCTCAATGAATGACATATAGGATGCATATTCCTCTTTGTCTGGGGAGGTCAAAATGCTTCATTTTCAGCTACTGATACAGCTCTCACAACCTGTAACCATTTAGGCAAAAGATGTGCCTGCCTCAGATAGTTGCTTCTCTTTCTTTTCTTCTCTCTTTCATCAAAAAAGTTGCATCTTCTAGAAAACAAATCTGAGACTGGAGACATTGGAAAACACAGGATCAAGGAGAAGTAAAACCCCCAGTAGTTCTGGCCAAACTTCTGAAGGCAACACTTCATAAATATCCAGTATGTATCTGCAGCTTGGGTAAGTTTCAAACACAAAGATACACCGTGACAATCAGAGAGGGTTTCCTTACCTGTATGTGTTGGTAGCTGGTACTCTCCAGATCTGAATGCCTTGGAGAATCCCTTCGGCTCCTACAGTCACACTGAGCTTGGAGTTCCTGTAGGCATCATTGCATTGGCTTTGTGTGGGGCCATAGGGACCACTGGCACCACATGTTGTAAATAACCAGTGTTCTGAAATGAGGACACATACATGATCCCAACATCCAAACGTTAAGGAGATGTTCTGCTCTTTATTCACGTTGCTTGCTGGACCAAGGCAAGAACCACCCCTCCTCAAAACTCCTGTGCAAGAGTCCTCTGCGTTTTTGTCACTGTTACTTGTTTATTATGGGTATTTACATACTTATTTCACTTACTTTTCCAATCCTTCTGCAATGGGTGGCGGTATAAAGTCTTAAAATTCTTAGATAGCAAATGGAAGAATTCCCCTCTCCTCCTTTGCCTCAAATGAACCCCCCAAAAAACCCCAAAACAACAGGTAAGAGGGTACCTAAGGAAGCAAGGTCTAGAAGTTACTAAAGCAAAATGTTTCAGTAGCTCTGATATCAACAGTCTCGCACCAGAAGATACTTATCCTTGCAAAAAAACACCCCAAACCCAAAGCAAAATCTTACACTAAATGGAAGATGAGAGACTCATTCTGTCAGCTATCCCAGTGATTTAACATTGCAATACCCCAGTGGGCTTAGCCACCTGCACTGAAACATATGTTCAGTAAAGCAGGTAGGTAAGTGTCTTCGTTTGGAACAATAAGAAGCCATTTGGATGTCTCCAGTGAAATACCAAATATGTTCCCAAAGGTAGATGCAGGTGACCTTCAAGGGGACAATAAGCCCAAAATATGAGAGAATCAAAAAGGAAAACTAGAAGTGATAAGATCCTAGGACAGACATAGCGTGTGCATAGTACTGCTATGGTTAAGCTTTACACTTCTGATTTAGTCCTTTGAAATAAATCTTGTTCCACACATATCTGCTTACCTGACCTTGGCAAACTTATCTCTAGACTATTACACATGTAACACACAGCACAGCTGGACCTGAAACTGGCAGCTCTTGGTTCCCACTGGGTTCCAGGGACTGGAGATCTTATTCCAAAATGCTCTTTAATGTCCCTCTGGTTCCTTAAAAGCCCTGGTCTTGCAGAAGGAGAATGTCCTTCTGCTGCAAACATTATGCCTTCGGACTTCGACCTGAGGCAACCAGAGCAGCTTTTGTGTTTCCTGGCTCTAGGACAGATGAGAGAGGGGGCTCACTTCCAGTGCAGAGGCAGAATCAGGGTAAAAGCAAACAGTGCTGGTAATTTAAGGTTAGTGAATCTGCACTAAGCTCTTAGAATCTGGCTTTTAAGAGCTTGAGAGAATGGGGAATGAAAAACCACAGGTATGTTATGCCAGGGAGTATTATATAAGGAACATGGAGATGACTGAGCAGAGGAGGTGCTATCTTATATTTCAAAAGTGGTCCTGTTGTTTTTGATACAGTAATGTATACGAGATTGTCTGTAAAGCAGTTGCTTCAGTCAGTGCAGGCATACATATTTACTTGCTCTGTTCAGGTAGATGGTAGACAAGAATGGGAAAAGATGTGTTTCAGAACTGGCAGAGCTGGGTAGTGACCTTTGCCCAAAACATTGCAAGAGGAAGTCTGGCCCAAGTGAAGTCCATGGGGAGACTGCACCTAATATAACCAGCAGGGATTTTGCTAAAACCTACAGCCAGCTGTTGCACGATCTCCTCATCTGTCATTGCTGCATTAACTTGCAAACAGTCTTCCTTCCTCCTGTTTATATATACTGGAAGCCAGTCCAACATGTAACAGCTTTGTCACTGAATTAAATGGGACGGGATATGGCACAGGAAGAAGCTGCCCCTCATTTCAAGATAATTAGGACAGATGGGTCTTAGTTACAATTCTGGATGCAGACTAAAACTCCCGCACTTCCCCCCCTCCGCTCTCTTACACATTTCGCAGAGCCAACCCTCAGCGTGCATATATAACAGTAGCCCAAGATCTGAAAGTGCTAACCCAGTAAGAAAACAGAGTACTGACTGCCTTAGATAACCCACCATTCCTTTTTAAAAGTAAGATTTCACTCCCTGTAAAGTATTGATTTTCTCTTGATTCTAGAAATGACTGCAGCATGTCTTATGAGCTCAGAGAGAGCACTTCTACAAGTTGCTGCATGCCACAGCAGTTTACAGTAATTCAGTTTGAAGCATTATTTTGATCTCCAAAGACTAAAGCAGCAGCACTGAATCGAAAATCCTTAAGCAGCTTGGTGAGAAGCACAGATTTTTTCCATCTGTGCACAACTGTGGTCTGTCGCATACGGCACAGCACATCTCTCCTTCCTTCTGCTGTGTGTGACAGGCTAAAACTGCTGGTACCTCACACTCACACCATGGGAAAAATAGCAGGACTCTCCAGCCTAAACCTTCCCCTCAAAAACTTGCAAATTACAGAAGTTTGCCCAATTTTACACAAGTTACAGATGTCTAGTTTCCAGAAACAGCTGAGCATTCCCATGACAAAACCAAACAAGTAGTTAAATGTAGGGTCCCCACATATTTCATCACTGGAAGCTGCAAGATGCTAACTGTTTTAATAACAATGCCTTTTTGAGGTGGGGAAAAAAAAGAAGATTACAGTGAGATACAGAATTAGGGTACTACATTTCAGTGAATAATTTATACATCAGTTCATTTGACAGAATCCCCACTTTCACAAGAAACATGACTGAGGAAACATTTAGTTTCTGCCTGTTCACCCACTCACCTGCCCTCCTCAAGCTCCCTAACAAGCTCATTGGTAAGGTCCCAGAAACAACATTTTGCAAGAAATGTAATTTTGGCTCTATTAAAAAAAAAATTAAAAAGAATTCTTCCTTCCCAAATTTTCTTTCCAGATTAGATTTACTGATTGATGTATTTACATGCACAGTCACTCATGCAGAACAGAGTACAGCAGACATTGTAGGTTTCACACAGTTTAGCTAGATACATAAAATGCACAGCAATCAAGGTGTTGGATTTCAGCAACAGTAAAGGGGAGTGACATCCTACTCTTGGAAAACAGAATGAACAAAACCCTACAGGACTTCAAATGACTAATTTGTTTGAAGCTCTGATGCCACTTGCAGCCTGAGGCAGCACTCCTGCAGGCACTGCTGCAAATAATAACCAGCAACATCGAAGAGTGGAGCAAAGCCTAAACCACATTTATACTTCTAACATAGAAAGCAATTTCACTGGCACATATACAGCACATAAACTCCGCACCACAAAACAGGCAGAGGCATTTTAGTTATACCTCAAGGCCCTAAGTGTATTAACTAGCATTTGTTAAATCAAGCTGGTTTGAACCAAGGTTAAACTCATTCCAAACCAAAACTTCAGTGATTTCAGAAAATTGCCAACCAAGCATCATGATACTTGGCTTATTTTGGAACATAGAATAACATGTTAGTGAAATGCATCAGTGCTTTCAAACAACAATTAGGCAGTTTGTGGAACTTGCTGCCACAACCTCTCTTCAGGACAAAAGGCTATTCCTACTTTCAAAAGAGTAAAAAACCACATAAAGTCTCATGCTTCAGGAGCATAAGAACCCCCGACACCAAACTTCTGGAGGCAATTAAATCTATTAGCTGTTCCTCAGAGAGTTCATTTTACTTCTTCCTCTAATGCAGATGTCATCAAACTTGATGCCATGAGCAAGCAGAACGTTTGCTTCATCTATTTGTAAAAACATTCAAAAGCTTCCCTCACAATATTTGGCCAATGTGGGAAATCAGAGGCTTACAGGAAACTGCCCATCCTAATCTTTACTAACATTTGGCTGCCACTGGCACCATGGTCTGTGTGGAGAGCTGTACCTGTTACTCGGTGCACGAGCAATCTCAGTTATGCATTACCAGTAATTCCAAGGTTGGTCTGTGCTGAAAGTCTGTAGGCAAAATATACTACATAACAAACATGCTCAGTGAGGTAACAAAGGACAAACCTCTCAATTTTGCTTTGGATTCTGCCATTTAACAATGTCCTGTGAGCAGTAATTTGAGATTATTACCTTTTCCAGGATTAAGTTTTCCAGAGATTAATAGGGCAGGGGGTTGAAAGATGATGGTAAATTGCAGAACTAGGTTGTGTTCACAGTTGAAGCCCCTGACCTCATAAATGTGTCTACAAAATATTAGGGGGATATAAAATGGTCATAGAAATTAGTGAGTCTTGCCAGCAATACCAGAACCAGTTATAGAGGTATGGCTAGACTAAAAGTAGGTCAGTTTTTCCACTACTTATGGAGTTACTATTTCTGTCTCTATTTTCTAAATGAGGGCAGCAATGGAAGACTTGGACATGTTTTTCAGTTCAACAAGATCTGCAGTGATGACATGTATGCCAGACTGATGATAAGTATTGTTTCAAAGAAATAATCTAAAGCTTGATTTTTCTTAAGTGTCTATATAAAACAGGCATCCTTGTAAGTAATTATCTGTGGTCAGTATAACAGGGTAAGGGCATTGCTGACTTTGAATGCCTTGTTTCTTGCCACCTTCTGAAACCAGACACTAGAAGACAACTAATTTCTTTTCTTTGTTATGTTTCACCTAAAGAGTCTTCCATAAATAGTGTTAAGTGAGACATGCTACTAAGTTTTTGGAATTTTTTTGCTCACAATTACAAAGGATGACAGAAATTCATGTTAGATAACAAAGACCAAAATGGGTGGAGGTGGTAAAATTATTTCAAAATCTTTTGACATCTATAGCAGCTTCTGCACAGTTTAAACTGCTGTGAGCAGCTTTAAAATTTAACTCTGAAATGTGTGAATTGCCCTTTTTATTTCATTTGCATGATTAACTCTAGAGAGCAATTATGCCAATTCGACTTTGCTATGTTGGTATCTGGCTGCATGCTGATTTTCCGTATTGCACCTTTGCTATTTTCAATCCTACAGGGAAAGTAAGTGTAAACACTGCAATAAAGAAATTCATACCTACATATTCTGAGATCCCACCATTGTCTCTGAACATTTTCCATCACTGTTCAGGATGTTACTTTTGTTGGGGGGAGGGCACTGAGCTGTTATTCATTGTGTTAATTGGTGCTTAATACAAAAACACAATTCTGAAGATACCTTTATTGCATTATACCAACAGTTCAGTTAGTATAATTGCACACAAAGAGCAACCAAATGTAATTTTCGTTTACTTAATACTTGCTCCGCTGTTCCTTTCAGCTCCTTCATCTGATTAACTAATGTGACTCAGAGTTCTTCCGAGAAACAGCCAAGGAAGTACTCATAACAGGACCCTCCCTGATGGAAAAGACAAAATTTGTGCAACTACTAGCTGCTGTGGGGAAGAGACCAGAGGAAAACCGTAGGCCAGGATGGATGAGAAAATGATTTGATGACAGTTTCCATGCAAGAAACCACAGTTGTACAGCAGCTGGTGGATATGCAGATAGAAGGGACAAAATAATGCTAGATTTGAGGGGAAAAAAGGTCAACCTTTCTGCACATTTCACAACATGCTGTTTTTGTACTGTGTGCCCTAACACAAATAAGTTGTCGTGGGATACATGAGAAGCTGTAACATCAAAAGAGAGGTTATTCTCATGGTATTTACAGCCTATTCAGAAACACCAGAAATCTTTAATTAAAGCTTGATTGCTCTGTGTCTTGTTATCTCCTTTCACCTACTGAGAATCCCATTTTGTCTCCTCCAGTTTCCATGATAGTAATTTGTTTACCTCGAATTCCTCATTACTGCTCACTGTATCTTTATATGCCTGTATTTCCCATATTCTAGCCTTGTGTACAAAAGGAAACTGCATTGGTTTGATATAAATTGGCTTTTTAATTGGTAGTTGAACAATGTTATAGTTTAAGCAGCTTTGAGTTTTACTTAAACTAATACCTAATCAATGTAAAAACAAAGCCAAAGTAAGCCTAGTTTATAGAAAAATAAAGAGCACCCAGCCTTTTGTACAGATGTAACCATTTCAATCAAAAATCCTGGTTCCATTAAAGCTGCTTGAATCTTCAGGTATATGCAGGCCTTGTTACAACTTTTTTGCAGGCTGCTTCTAGAATTAAGTTTCACCTGCAACATTTCAGCAAGAAGCTGGTATTTCAGCAAATAAAACATCATTAGTTAATTGAAACGGAAAGCATTTGCATTGCTCTGTGAACATCTATCTAATAATGGCCACCTTGTACTGCAAGTAACTTGAAAACCACAGGAATTCTGTGTTGGTCCTGGGCATCTAGAAACTTGAGAAAGTAACACCACCACATTGGTTGTAGCAACTTCAGGTCTTATTCTACACAGTGCATTCATTATCCCATGTGTGACACAGGACAGGGGTTAACAGATTTCTGGAAGCTTTAGAATCTTTCACATTGTGGCTGTGTTGTGTTTTGAACCTCCAGTGTACACCTCCTGGAGGCAAGTCAAGCCACAAAAAGCAAGGGCAAGGATAAAGAAGTAATTCAGTAGGTACAGGGCCTGACAACAGAGAGGATGGGGAGGCTGGTGGTGCTGACTATCACTTCTGCTGAAAATGGATTTCCAAGCACAGGCAAAAGCAGCAGGTGTATGTAAGAGATTGTTCTCAGATACAAAGCAGCAAATGGAGGTCCCATATCCTTGAAAGCAATGGAGCTTCTTTGGATTTACTGTCAGGTAAACAAACTGGTACCTGTCTTTCAGACTGTAGTTCCTGCTGCTTAGGCTGAGCAGGCCTGGGACTTAGGGAGGGCGTTTTATTATCCTGTTGTCTCCTTAGCTTTGGGAACACAGTTCTTTGTTTTAATATGATTTCTTAAGAAGGAAATACTATAGCGTGTGATCCATCAAACAAGTCAAAGATCATATTAGCTGTAATTACTTTTGGCAGAGTTCATATTGGTCAATGCAGTCTTTGGGACTTCAGGGTGGTGCTGATGCTGTTGGTTCTCTTGCACAACAGTAAATATGTGGCCATCGAAGGTAAAGCCTTGACAGACTCACCCTGAGGTTTCTTAAATGCATTACAGGATGCAGAAAGAAACAAGATTAAAGCTGGGTAAAATGCATAGCCCAGGGACCAAACAAGCATCTGCAGTGTTTACTGAGAACAGGCAGGGACTCGGCAACACAAAGGAAAAGGGTGGTTCAGAGCTGCAAAGACCCTCAGAAATGCAATGGCTTGCTGCTGCTTAGCTTCTCTGATTTCTGCCCTTTCTACTCTGAGGGCACAAAGGGAGAAAATTGCTACAGGAGTGATTTCAAACCTCAAGGACTAGAGACAATTTTAGACAGAATATGAACAGCACAGAAGATAAAACCCAGAAAATAGGCAAGCTGGCTTACATACCATAGGAATTGCCTTTAATTTTCACCCCAAGGTGATAAAAAATTATTTTAATTGCTCAAAGTACCTCAGTGATCTTCTCTTCTACCCTCATTCAATCCGACTCTCATTATTTCTACTATCCAGGCATTTCTTTAAATTGCATTCCTCAGATAGGACAGGGAGCAGAAGAGCTAGAAGATGTCAGGTCTAGTGAGAAGTAGAGAGTAACAAAATTCTCAAAGAAATCTATGGCCACAAGATTTCTAGCTCACACACCCACTTCAGACTAACTTTGAATCCAATATCTAATGTTTTTGCTGTTACTAAAACAGCAGATACACTGGAAGGAAATGTGCATGTGCCTTAGGAAACTACATCACCACCTGAGCACTGACATTCCCAAGGAAAGTCAGCCAGAAGTCCATAACCTATACCTGTGTACAGATCCTACCACAAGATCCTAAGGGCAATACTGAGACCACTTAAAAGACGACTTCACCTACAGGCAGGAAACAGATATACAGATAGTGAAGGGAAGACATCAAAGGATCTTCAAACAGGACATAAAGATATTTTTGAAAATTATACTTTTTTGACTAGCCCAATCTCACACATGACATCTGTAACAGACCCAGACACAACCATTAAAGCTAAAGCACAGCTCCACCCAGCCAGCATTATCTCATGTGGGCTCATCCCCTCTGACTCATTCCCTCGAGACTCCGGTCAGTGCTCCTGCACTTTTCTTGCTGTATGATGCTCAGTATATAAAGCATCCATCAGCTCCACCTGAGCCAGCTCAGCCTGCCCCACAGACTGTACCATCAGCCTCCACTGCCAGAGCTCGCTTCTGACCAAGAGAGCTCAGGCAGCAGCAGCTGCCCTGCTGCAGCAGCACGGAGTGGGTTAATGCATCCAGCTTTTCAGGCAGGCTTTGAAGGCTGTGTGGAGCTTTGGGACACACTGATCAGCCCACTGTTTGTATCAGAGCTAACACAACTAGTCTGTGCAATTCAACAGTACACTGCAGGTAGGAAAGTGAGATAGAACGGATAGAACAGATGTAAAGAAGTCTCTCTAAGATGTGGAGAGAAAAGGAGGCAGCAGGACCAAATCCCTAGGGTTACTGACAAAGGAGCCATGTATCAACCATCTGTTTTCTAACTTAAGAGGGGTGGTATTTCAAATTGGCAGGTAACCAGCTAGTCCTAAGAGAGGAGCTGCACACAGTGCTGAGGGTTGCAGTTACAAGTGCTTCTCTCTCCAGTAGCTACCCCTCACTTCCATGGTCAGCCCTGCTCCCCCAGCTAGGAGGTCGTGGCTACCCAAATCAAATCAGAAAGAGAAGCTGAGGGAAGGAAGCAGATTCAAATGGAAATGCACATGTAGAGCCCAAAACAGATATTGTGAATATGTAGGCAAGCCTAGGAGAGGTAAGAGAGAACCATTTGGGAGACAGTGATGGAAGGGTGAGGGAAGAGAAGGGAACTCTTGCATCTGTTTGGCCCACACCACCACAGTTAAGCTGGAAAGAGGAGCTGAGGGGTAGGGAAGAATGAAATAACATTAACATATAAGACTTTTCTAACTAAATAAAAATCGTATTTTTAAAACAGAGTCCAGTGCTATACTGCTTCAAATGGACAATGTAAATATTACTGAAAAAGCAAGGCTATGTTATTTTAAACCAAGCCTATATTAACTAGAGTTAGGTGTTCATGTTACCAAATGCTGAGTTCAGTCAATCTGGACAGTTCGCTTTGATTCCTGACAATTTTTATATGACCATGACACCAAACAAACTGTCTTACAGTTTAAAAGCGCGTTTTACTTCAAGAGAGGCTCCCTCTGGTTCTTTCACCAGCTTGCAATCAGAATCCAAGTTACAGTTAGCAGCTACAGGTAATTTGCTTTCTAGAGCTTGTTTTGTTTTCTTTGTGAGGGACTTGGGAAAAGCTCTAAACAGAGGCTGTGGAACAAAAAAATCATATTGCATTTAGCCACATCTAACTGAGGTGTGTACTAGCTGGAAATCTCTTCCTATGTAATGATGCTTCTCAGAGCAGACAGTTACCTGCTGGACCAGAAGTGGGGGCACTGTTGAGTTGGAGATTTCCCAGAAGCTTTTGTTCCCATCCAAACTTCTTCTGGCCGCCTCTACTTGTGAGCAAATTGCTTGAGTCTGGAGTGATACCTCGAAATGTCTTCTCTCCACTGACTAGAAAACCAGAAGTGACAGATTGGTTTATGACTGAGGGTGACTAAGCCAGTATGTAATCCAAAACTGAAGTTAAATTAAAGGCTACAGACTTCTGTGCTGAGAACAAGATCCTGCAGCCACAGGATGTAACGCTATTAAAAGGAATAGGCAGATTGACTTTCCACTGCTGTTACACAACTGAGATGAAAGAAAAATCAACAGGAATGAGTGGTAGGCAAAACAGCAAGTGAATGAAAACACTTGCAGAAAACCAGAATATAATCTTTAGCAACTGTTATAAATTTTCTCTTTAGCCAGTGAAAGTATGTGCAATCTTTTTTAATTCTAACCTGATTTTAAGATCTCTTTAGAATACTTGAACCTGAGGTATACTGCACTTATGCACAGAAAGCAAGAGGCATTACTGCATAAATGGAAAGACTCATGCTCCAGCCAATGCAAATTAACACAGTACAAAGCAGATGAAACATTCTGACTGACTGCTGTTGGATGAGGAAGCGGCTTAGATATTTTTGGTCTGAACAGGGCTACAGAAGTTGTAGCTTCAAGCCTAGGAGACAAAAGAATGTACTTAAGTTCTACTGCTCAACCCAAGGTAGAAGTTTCATTTGTTCAGAGCAGCAAATCCTCCAATCCTCATGTAAGTTTTTGGTCTGAGGTACAGAATGACAGATCATTAAACATATTTACAAATTAAAGCAATTCACTATGCATGAGAATATGAAAGATGAGCCAGACACAAACATTTAATAACAATCTAAATGTGGTGAAATCTGGCATCAGAGGTATAGACTGGGCACATTCTAGAGGCCAGTCAATCCCAAAGCCTGGACTAGAATCCAAATTTTTCCTCAGAGCAGTAGAGTGTGAAGATCCTAGTCTGATTCAGACTTAAACGTGTGTCAGTCCAAATGAAATAACCTCATTCTAATTTAACTGGAGTATTGTGCCCAATGTTATTGCAAAGTTAGTGTCAATCACTGGATGCCTGTCTTTTCCTAGCCACAGTCCAACTGTCATTCATTTTGATAACTGTCACACTGCAAACCAGGTCATCTGGAAATCTATAATCACAGACTGGCTGCTGCATCAGTCTGGATGGAGAGGTGATGCCACTGTCTCAGCTGGAAGCTGGCTCTCCCACACCATATGTCTCACTACCCACCTACTGCCAAACTCGGAACCCATTCACTGGTTGGCTCCACTAATAAGGTATGTACGTGAACAGGCTGCTCTGCCTAAGCACAGCTATTTCTGAAACATACTTTTACCTTTCAAGAGTCTTTTGAAGATACTGAATCCCTTCCCCACAGTTTCCAAATTTCAATTACTCGACAAATAAAGGACAAGTCACTTGGAGATAAAATGAAAACTTACTTGTTAAATAGCAGTCCAGACTAAGGGAGACATTGTCAAAAGCAATAATGGCATCTGATCCTTCTTCCCATGAAGCGATGATCTGAAACCAAAACCTGCACGTATTGGAAAAAAATGGGATTAAATTTTGCTAAAGAGTTGAAATTCAGAGCTCTTCACAATTAAAGCAGTTTTTGAATGAGGGAGAAAAACTTTTCACATATAAAAATATTAAATTGACAGAGAAAGTATCTTCACTCCTAACAAGTAAAGATGATTTGAGGAGGAGAGCTATACATTAATATAGGTAGACAGAATAAAAGAATATAGCCCCTCTTCCCTCCAGAGACATACAGTCTGAAGGAGGTAGAAGTGTGTTTTCTGACCACACTCATACACAAAGTCCCCTGGCTTCTGGCACAGATGAAAGAAAACAACCAACCAAACAGACCCCTAAGTGATTTTATTCTCACAAGTGATTTACACCCTGAAGTGTTAAGAAAAATAAGTAGGCAGGGCTTCTGAAGTAATTTGGAGCTTCTAAAAGGAACTGGCAATCAAAGGCTGAAACCAATTTAGAAAGTATTTGGTGTTGATCCACCCTGTAGGGAGTGAAGGATATCTAACAGCCCTGGCAGTCACAAAAGAGAGGAACTGACACTGGGTAGTCCACAGGAAGAGCAGAACTCATTATCTCCTTATAGAAGCTGAGCAGGTTTGCCTTAAATCACTTCCACCCTCTCAGCTGGCTATTGCCAGGAAGTTCTGCCACTCCTACATTACCAGCAGCAAGATCACTGTAAATTCACCCTCAGTGATATCACAAGTCAACAGGAAGAGCAAAAAATAACCCATAACCAAATACTTCAAATCTGACAGTATATTGACCATGTATTATAATTCTGTGCACTCAGAGATTTAGGTTTTCTCTTGGCTTAGTAAGTTCACATTCTCCCAGTGCATATCTGCCACATAAAATCATAATATTCTGCTTAGGAAGGAGAACAATTTCTAAAAGCAGCCGGCCATGGCCCAGAAGTCAGATACAACGCTGAGAGGTTGCATCAAGCCTATAAATACATGAGCTGTAGAACAAGCTGCAAATGAATACAAAATATTATTTAAATCTAATTATCTGGTGTATCTTGATGTTTTATGCCAGCAGAAGTTAAATCATTCGTGGGTCTCTTTAATGTAGATCTATTGCTGATGGTTCCTGCTCCATCTCTTAGATATAAGTAGTCAATCAGAAGGTGAATTCTTGCAGGTGTTTTGGTTTAGACAAGAAAACCAAATACTATACAGAACATGGTATTTTGAGGAGCAGCCCTATGTATTTAGAAAGGCTTTAGAAATTCTGCCTCTTCCTTGCAGCAAGAATCTAAACACCCAGCAGAACTTTTTTTCTTCTCACAGACTCTGGTCCTTTATGCATAGCACTGGGTCTAAAATATTTTCTCTCAGTATGCTATCAGTATGCTTACATTGGTCTTGTTGACTCCTATTGTTTTTAAATACTACCACTCCTTTACCAGCAAACCAACCTCAAAACTTCAAAATTCAGCTGTAGTTTCTCTAGTCATATGCATATTTACTCTGGGACAGCATGTTCCTGTGTTTTGAATGCAGATTTTGACTGAGCCTCCTGACTCAGTCAACAAACATAACCAACTTCCATGTTGTTCTCAAACAGTGCAGCTTTCATCACCAGAGATGACAGTGAGGTTTGGCAAAAGCCAAAACAGACCCCAGGGATTCACATTCCTTTGAGCATATCTGGATTGAAGTGGCATCATCTCCTGCAATTGGTGTTCTTGCTAAGCTACAGGTGGGGACATGGTCAGAAAAGCTGACCCGACTACAGCGAAGACTTGAAACAGGAAAAACTCCTGTTAGCTTCTGAACGGTGTAAGGGGTTTAGAACAGAATACAGTCCATTCACAACAGAAAAGATCTGATATAGTTGCAATGTTCCTCCTTTATTTCTGGTAAGGAAAAACAATGATGCTTCAATAATGAAATTTCTCACTCTGGAGATATGCACTGGACACATGGAGAGACTTCTCTAAAACCAGCTTTTTAAGTTCTAAAGACATGAGCAGCTACCGTGAAAGAGCAGGTGATTGTCACAAATAATAGTAGATATGGTGAAGGAAGAGTACCCCTAGCATCAGAGGAATAGCAAGATGTAATTTTCCTTGCTAAATGATCCATCTTTACCAGCTCAAAAGGTGGCAGCTCCATCCATACAAATCTGAAGATCACAAAAGTGTATTTTTTGCCTTTCCAATCCATACGAAGTACAACTGCAGTCCGATGCTGTCAGCAGTCTCACAGTTCTTATCTGGGATACCTAAAACCCCCTGTGGGTATGTCTAGGAAGAGAACTGGAAGGAACACAAAATCCTTGGATATTAAATTGGCTTCCAGCTGAATTGGCTGCCCTCTCCCTGCCTCTTTCCCTCATTTGCTCTACAGCTGACATCCCACAACACTTCAAATGAAATTACAAGCTCTAGCATAAACATAAGCTGTTCAGTTTGAGACTTGCCATACAAGACTTAAACAAAAGCTGTTGGATAGACACAGTGGGCTCTGATTTACTTTTTTCCCTGCAAGTTACTGTGCCAGCAGCAGAGATGACTGAAACAGGTCCCGAACCACCACTGCTCACAGTCTGTTATGTTATGGAAAACCAGCAACTTAGGCTGTTAAGTACAGGCTGTAGCTCAGTAGAAGCTTCTTGTTTCCTCTTCTATGCTGCTGAAATGTCCAGGAAAAGGTAAGGTGGAAACTGATTCAGCTGCACATTTTTCAGCTGGCTGTGTCTGAAAATCAATGCCCTGCCCTGCCCACAGTGAACCTTGGTGCTACATTGAAGGGACCGCTGAAACCAAATCTGTGATGCATTTGATCCTCAGCCTCTTTCCTGAGGGTCTACACTAAATGCCACTTGGAGACAGGGACACTTTGATGTGAATTTATGATTGTAAGGTGTTAAACTGAGGCTGGGAAATTAATTATCAAGACAAATAAGCAGTTCGTATCTGTCAGCTTTTCCCTCCACTTCTGCAGACTTTAGCTCAAGAAACATAAAAGAAGAGACAGATACTTCTGCAAAGACTACTATGTACCCCTCCTTGTACCTCCAGGCAATGAAGCACTTCTAAAAATAGCTTCAGGCAATTTCCTTGGTAGAACCTAAGGTTCGTGCCCCAAGATGTTATGCTTTGATGCACTTCTCAAGTCATGCCTCTTCAGACAATAAAGGGTTGTTCTTATGAGAACTACCAAATGTTCAGCTCCTAAGAAGTTGAAGGCATGATACAAACCAGTATTTCTGTTGCTCAAGGGAATGCCATCTAACATACCCATATCAGAATGCAATAGGTTGCATTTTACTTTTATTTACAGTTCATTCAAGTTAAGAGTGAACCTTGCTGATTTCACCTGCAGGAGCACTGGGACCAAAATACGCAAGAAATTTCCAGAAGTTCACCAGGGATGAAAAAAAGACAGAAATCCTTCCAAAATACAAAAATCATGTGAATGCTAAACACTGTTAGAACCATCAGTGCTGCTTTGCTTGTCTATTAATCTTATTTTTTCCTAACAGAAATGCAGTTCAGTACAAACCTTCTCTTGAGACCAGCATTTCTGCAACAAATAGTTCATCATTTTATTTTCTCCAGTTTAATGCCACTATTAATTTAGAAATATGATGTCTTTCAAATTCCATTGAAACAAGATCATCAGTTAACCAACATTTCAATCACTAGCTTTGGTGATTTTAGCTTAATGGGCTAATTAAGGGAAATTTAATCAAAACTGAAGATGGAAATGTCACACATCAGTGAGATGGAAAAAACCCCACAGACAATCTCGTTCCCTTGCCCCCTCCTTTTTTTTTTTTCTTTCCGTTTGATCCCTGAAATCAATGAAACAACTCCCTTTGACTTTGGTAGAAGCTGATACTGAAACACCAGAAGCACATGTTATTGTAATGACTCATTACCACGCTGGAGGTGGCGATGCCTCACTGGTATTTTTGAACAGATCAAAGTGGGAACTGACTGCACTCCCAGTACTTCAACTGGCACCTGTACAGAATGGACACCGGTTCACAGCACTGCACAGACATCACTGCAAACACAGATGCTGTAGGGAATAGCCATGAAAGAATATTCCTGAAGGCAATTATACAGGACCAGCAAAATTAGCGCTGGTAAGTTTGTCATGACTGTTGTTTAATATACCCCAGCAACTTCCTCACATGGAATCCAAATCCTCATCAAATATGTCTGTGTTTGTAAGATATTTCATTGGAATGAAAATATTGCTGTTAAAAAAACACTTTAATAACTTGGTTATCAGAAAAATCATTACTTGTGGACTGTGGAAATTAATTCTTAACTGCTTCTTCTTTTACCCTAATTGACCTGGAGCACAGTTATAAAAAAGGTTCCTTACACGTATGACAATTGGAAAGCACAAGTTACATCCTGTAGAGTTGAGTGTTAGCTGAGCTGTGAAAGCAAATGCATACAAAGGTCTATTTTTAAAAAACATTCTGTTTGAGGCAAATAGGAAATGCTGTACCAAGTGGATAAAACCCCCATAATACAACTCTCCTCTTTGGGGAACATCGGCTCAGCTGTTTGAAGGATACAAATTTTACATAAATTCAAAAACCACTCAAGGGTGACTGCTGATCAAATACTTCAGAGTCACAGACAAGAAATGGTACCAAATGAGCTTTTTTTGGTTTGCTTCTTTGGCCCAATACATGAAATTTGAATCTAGATGAACAGTTGAAAGGTAGGACCTAGCATTTGGTTAAATATATTGAGTTATTTGGTTAATATTATTTAGTTAAACATGACAGAAACAGGATAACATCAAAGCTTCTGGGCTTGATCCTAACAGAAGACTGCTTCCCCCAAAATATCTGAGGCTTATTTACAGAGGGAAATGCAGAACTAAAATTACGAGGATAGATCTATAGCTGCATTGGTATAGTTTCCATGAGGACAAACTCTTTTGCCTATGTCACCTATCCTTAAGACTTCATTGCACAGAAATGTTTATGTTCATGTATTCAAAATACTTTTGCATA